TTTGCTGCCTCTTTACCTAGTTGGCACTTACATGCCACCTCAATTAATTTGTGCTCTGCAGGCTGCTGATGGGGGGTTTTCTGGTGGTGGTCATTATTGATTTCCTGGTGTCTAACCATAAATGCTTGTTTGCTCTGTGACTGCTTCAGCTATACAAGTCACTTACTGGCACAAAATGGTTTCTGCATGCATATGCGCACTGGCTTGCTCCAGGGGGTCTCTAAACGTTATGACTTACCAGCCTAAATGCACATAAAGTGTGAGGTGCCTTCTGAGTTCCAGGAAAGCACACAAACCACAACTCTGATGTGAGGTGTAGGCCTTTCTAAGAGATAGGAAAGGCTCAGGAATCGTGTTGGAAATGCTTTTGTTGAGGTGTTCTGGCCTCCTATCCAGATGAAGCAGATCTGTTTGAATGCTTTTCCCTTGGTGCAGTTATGGATCTATTGGTTCTTTATTTTGCTTTTCAGTATTTTTAAAAGTAGACCAGCTCTTGTGTTAGAAACTCTTTGCACAAAGCAGGGACTGTGCTGCTCTGGGTCCTTGTAGTTGTGACAGACTCTCAGTGGGGATTTCTGTGACGTGGTTTGTATTGCCACTCCTATTCCAACTAAACAATCCCACTTAAATAATGAAGGAGGAAGGGCTCAGTCTCTGCTGTCACAAGACCACCAGAATAGATGCCCTGGGTGTTCCAGCACAGGGTCCCAGGGCTCTGTCAGCTGTGTTGTTTCAGGGGCTGAGGAGATACGTCCCTGTCGCACTGTTTTCTGCTAAGTGCTGTTGTAATTTCTGCCATGTTTGGACTCAAACATGATGTTTTAATCAAGTCGTCTGTATCAACTAGCATGCTTTTGTCACTAGAAATCTCGTTGTTTCAAAGTGGCTTGCCTCTGCAGTTTTTTCTCCAGCTGACAGCCCAGCTATTCTATGCGTACCAGATGGAGACTGGGTGATGTTCAGTGCTTTGTAGAGGCTATGTGGGACTTGGAGTTAACTGCTCTGAGTTATCGGTCCTCTAAAAGTCTGGCTTTTTTGCAACAGAATATTCCTGGCAAGAGTTGTGGTACTGGACTCTTGTTCTTGCCTGGGTAGGCTGGTTATGATATGAACTGATGAGCAACTAATGTTGTTTTAATTGTTTACAAAATTAAGAAAAGGAGAGTAAGGGCCATTTGACAAAGGCTTATTCTGGTACTTAAAGTTTTTTCTCCCTTTCTCCTCACAAACTGTTGGTGTTGCAATCCTGAAGTGTCAGTTTTGTGTCTACGCAGAAAGGTGCATGCATTCAGGAGCGTGGTGATGATAATTTAGCATTGGGGTGTAACATACTAGTAGAGAAGCAAACGGCTGACCACTGGGACTGGCTGGGATGGAGTTAATTTTCTTCATAGTAGCCCCTGGGCTGTGTTTTGGGTTTGTGACCAAAGCAGCATTGAAAACACACCAGTGCTAGCTATGGCTGAACTTCCAAAACATCTGCTGCATGTTGTGCTAACAGTATACTGCACTGTCATGCTTTATTCTGACCTTCTCTATTTTTTTCTTCAGGAGTATGTTTATCCAGATGCCAGAGACAGACAGTACTTATTATTTTTCCATAAAGGAGCCAAAAAGACAAGATTTGACCTAGAGAAATACAATCAACTCAAGGATGCAATTGCTCAGGTAACAAGAGTTCTTTCCAGAAATAAGGCAAATTACTGCTTGCTAGTTCTTCATCTGCTATTAATAGATGCACCTCCAATAAGAATGGGTGTCTCTTAGGTTTTCAGCCCATTTTCTTGTCACAGCCCCAGTGTAATCACTGAATTGGCTTTGATGTGCCCAGGAATAGAACTGCTGGATGTATAAATCAACATGAAACAGTTGCCTGTACCTATATGTAAGGGCCTTTTAGAACCTGCTAGCAAATCTTGAGTTGCTTCAGGCACTTCATGCCTCAGAGGAGCCTAATTCAAGAATTCCTTTCTTCTCAGCTCCTACACACCAGATGGATTTAGTGAGAAATGGAGACTTGCATCCATTCAGTTCATGCCTCCCTGACATAGCACTTCAGTGCACTGGGTAGCAGACCTGGAAAATCATGTTCAAAAAAGCTGCATTGTTAGTGCTGATGGGGGCAGATTTCTTGTATTACAGGGGAAGACCCTTGTGGCAGACTGTCCCCAGTGTGGGATCTGATCAACACAGGAGTTGAGGGGAGATTTGTCCTCATTTTTGAGAGCCTTTCTGATAAAAGCAGGCATGAGCAGAAAAAGCAGGGCTACCACATTCTCTTTTTCACGGTATCATTCTCTGTTTATCCCCAGGCTCTGGAAATGACAGTGTAGGATATCCAGGGCAAGATCTGTTATCCCCCCCCTGCCTTGGAGAAGGAGCTGTGTGAGGAGTAGAGAGAGCTCAGAGCAAGACTGTGTGAAAGACTTCTGATTTTTTTTTAACCTCTTGAATACAGATTGCCTTGTGTGGCTATTTCTGTGGTGCTTTTCTTTAAGTATTGACCATTCCTGTTAATCTAGCTCCTTTAAAAAAGTTTCACCAAGTTTATGGGAATATGTTCTCTTCCTACCGTATTCTTTAAGCGGCTCCATGTCAGCAAGTTCAGAGAAGCACAGAGCAAGTATGAATTGTTTTCCCAAATCCGATCCTGTGACTGTTTTATTCCTTGAATGCCTCAATTTTTGGACAGGAAGAATGAGGAAATTAAAATTTTCCCTTCTAGGAGTATGCTTATATGCTTAAAAGGGGTATGGGGTTAGGGAAGGTGTATTGTGAGCCTGTTCTTTATAATGCATCTTTTACTTTTAGGCAGAGTTGGACCTTAAGAGGCTTCGAGACCCGCTGCAGGTTCACCTGCCCATCCAGCAAATTGATGAGAAGGACTGATCAGCAACGAAGCTCTGAACCCCGGCGAAAAACCTGTTCATAGCTCTTGCCTTTTTAATTAAAGCATTGCAGGTGTAAGCTGGGAGGTGGCATGGGGGTGGAGGGTTTTTAATCAAGACAAAGGACTGTAGGGGGAAATCTCTTAAATCTGAAGATGGGGGCATTGTGGAATGTTAGTTCCGAAAAGGGCTTGGCAAATAGTTATGTTTAAAACTGTGTGAATGGTAATTGTGTACAAATACAGGATTGTGGGGGGTTCACGAAAAGAATGTAATGCTGGGGTAGGGGCGTCTTCTTCCAGCTCTGCAGGGTCTGCCTCTTGATAAGACACCAGCAGCCTGCTTAGCTTTTTAAATTTTCCTTTACCTGATTCAGATCTCTCTTTCTCTCTCAACAACAACAACAAAAAGGGATAAAAAGAACAAAGAATCCAAGCCACCCGGAGCTATGGCCGGTGATCAGAACTTGCACTCCACCGCCATTAACGCGCACACTTCTGATCAGACCTGGTCTCTTTTATAAAGTTACTACAAGACTGCTTTCTACTGGAAAACCGTGAGCTTGCCCTCCCCAGCCCCACCCCGTGTGCTCCACTGACTTCCTCCTTTGCTTATTTGTAGCACAGACTGATTGTAGCCAAGTGAGAGAAGGAACAAATTCTCTTCTGGACATTTGATAATTGATATTTTGGATTATTCCATAATAACTATATAAACTTTGCGTCCCGATGCCCTTGAGCTCCTTCTAGAAATCAATGGCAGCATTGCATGAGAGTTTTTATATTCAGTCTTGAGAGGGCGATTCCCCTCTTCCTACACCAAATCTGATAGCCACCTGGACTATGAAATTATGAAGGTTTAAAGGATTATGAAATTGTCTCAGAATCATGACTCCTGCTTAACTGAACACTTTTGGAATGTGGAATAATTAAACTTGATATTTGACCGTTTGTTTAACGGGAATGAAAGGTTTCATATATGGTCAGAGCATTTTCCTTGCCCAGAGGCTTTTTGAAAGCCCGGAGCTCTTACAGTGCAAGACACAGAACTACTTCAGTTTTCTAGCACTTTCCCCTGCTTAAGTAGCTTTAAACGAACTTTGCACCCACAGGTCACAGTTTCTTAGGAGTGGCTAATGACATCTTTAGTTCTTAGCTAAAAGAAATAGAGGAAGGAAAGTCAACCCATTGCCCTCTCTTCTAGCCAAGGCTGGCTGATTTCTAAGCAGATAAAACACCTTCATTCAAAGCGGGTCAGTCTCTTTTTAGCATCCTGCTGATAAATACTGCGGGGACAGGATGGAGCACTAAGCTTTATACACAGAAAAGCTGGCTGCTTTTTTGATGTTTCACTACTACTCCTCACTGTGTCATAGAAAGAGGCTTCTGTTTTTGTTTTTTTTTTTTTTAAGAACCATGTTTAAAAACAAAAAGAGAAAAACAAATTAGTATTAACTAGATGCCAGGTGCCTTGCAGATGTGGAAACACAGCTGGGATTGCTGCCTCTTCTCACTCAATGGCATGTTGGACCGAATGGGTGCATGTTTCTAGTTTTTTCTCCCTTCCCCTTTTCCTTTGTCTTTCAATTTAATTACATCGTGTGATTATTTTTTATCTGTTTTATCCTGTTTGTGTGATGAGTTTTAAAGGGGGGAAAAAATGAATACAATCCTGTAGCTGAATCCTTGGTGTGTGTTTGGGATGAGGGAGGGAGCATGGAGAAAAGTCCTTCTTTAAAAAAAGAAACACAACAAAAATAAAACCTGAACATGTGTAAAATCCTGTATCATTTATGAAATATGTATAAAAGAGCAATGTACTTCTGGAACAATAAATAACTATTCAATTTTTGAACTGGTGCTCTTGAATAACATCGTTTTCCCCAGCTATATTGCATGTGTGGCAGCCACCTCCTGAGTTTCCTCCATTTCTTTCTGTTTAGGTGGTTTCTTCCTGACCTTCCATCACCGAGGCCGTGGTGGTGCAGATAATAGCTTTCCTGAAGAAGCTTGGATGGAGATCTTGCTGCTATACCTAGCCGCGTAACACAGGGATCTCAGGAGCAGTCGAGGTGGTGAGGTAGAAGTAGAGATGTTTGGCCTAACCAAGGGCTGCCTTGGTTTGACCAGCATAGTAGTTCCCTGTGAGTCTGACAACATCTGGAGACTTGTGGCAGGTTGCAGGATACGAATACGTATGAGCGTGTAACACCCAGCAACCTAAAACATACCAAGTGTTGTTAGTGTGTTTCTATATTGAGTTCAAGTGCTGTTTGAGAGGAAAACTCTCAAGTTTTGACCTTTTATTCCTTCCTTTCTAAGCCTTTCGTTGGTTCTGGTCTGATTAGTCCTGATGGCATACCTTCCCTTCGTTAGCTTTAGGAATCCACAGACTGTGTACTTTGTCCTAACTTCATGGATGTTAGGATGAATGTTCAGTGCCAAAAGATTTTTTTATCATGTCCAACTGTTAAAAAGTCATGATTGGCCAGTTTTCCAACAGCCAAGTCTCTTGTGTGTTTTTAAAGACAGAAATGAGGGACTGGAAGCTGTTAGATGCAATCTGCCTTTAATCACTGTTTAAATTTAGTTAGCAATGCTGACAAACCCTCTTCTTCCAAGCAGCCCTTAGTCTGCTGCTGTGTACAGGCAGACTGCTTGGAACAATTGTGTAAAAACTTGTCCATTTTGTCATCCAGAAGAACTGAAGACTATGACATCTAGCACCAAAATCCCTATTTTGAAAGCGAAGAAATGCTATGACAAAAATGTTCCTGCACATACTTTGATGTTGTTCTACAGATGATGTGGGGAAAGGAGGGGTAAAGTAAGATTCTATAATTTTACCCTGAAGTAGGGGCTGTCCTGGGGGTCCTGTTGGTTTGTACCCCTGGAAGCTCCTGGCACCTGGTCTCTGCTGGGGGTGGGTGGCACTGCAGACCTCAACCTCTAATCTCTGTGTCTCTGCTTCTGCTGATGTTCAAGGGCATGATGTATGTTTTTGTTCTTTACGCTGTTGTGTACCAACATCAACAGTGTTTTGCAACAGCTACTTCATGTCGGAAAGACAGGCAGGTAATGGGGTCCTGTCCCACTGGCAGCATTTTAAGAGCAGGCAGTGCTGCCTGAATCTTAATGTAGCAGTGTTCTTAAGCTCCTATGAAGGCTGAACAGCAGCATGCGCTGCAGTGTTCAAATGCCTCTTTTTCTACCACTTCTGGTGTGTTTTTTCTTAGCTTGACCTCTCTTCTCTCCTTTTCTGCAAGGGAATGTTTTGTATAAACACATATCAAGTTTAAAATTGTTTGATTCCCCTCTGCTGTGCCCAAGAGGCTCCAAGGAAGGTGTTAATAGCTTCTTTTCCTTGAAGACCACAGAAAAATACCTTTTTCCCTGTCCCTGTAATTCTTTATCTGGCAGGCAGTCACAATGAACACCTTGCTGCACCTTCTTATGCTTCCCTGTTGGTTTGCATGGTGCTCTGAACCTGCTGTTGGCTGTCAACTCTTTGCACTGCATCAGTCAAGGAAAGCCAACCAAGCTGCCTTGTCTTTCTAAGCCAGTGGAGCAGTTTATTTGACCTACTGTGTGCTTTTGTGTGGAATTGTAAGTACAAACTGCTTTCTTTTGCCACATTCTGTAACTATTTTGTTTTCATATATGAAAAACCTTTTTTATTTTGCATCTGAAGTATTTTCTAACCATTCCAATTATTCCCCTTAAAATCAGTTTTATTTCTACATTGACATAAATGGTGAGAAGTAAGGCACAGGCACAGAAACCAAACCTGCATTATGTCTAAGTCCTGGAGCATCGTGGAAGCTGGTGTTATGGCGTGTCACTGTGGCTCTATGAGCTTGTGGAAGGTGGTTCAATTCCTATTTCTGCTTCCGCTGAGTTTTACGACTGGGGGTTTGCTGTCTGTGTGCATCTGGAAATTGAGGATCATGGAAGACACATTGGGTCCTGTAGGACCTCTGGAAAAACATTCTTAAACACCAAGTTCAGCACTGGGGGAGCTCAGTAAGGGAGAGGAAATCACTCTTCTTCACTGAGAGTTGTGTGCTCGGCCAATTTTTCTGTGGTCTTGGTGTTTTACTTGTGAGCTTGCTTGCAATTGACCAAATGTGAGGTTTGCTCCCTGATCTCAACACCTCTTCCCATTGGCACTGTGTCCTGGGACAAACTGTTTACAGAAATGAGGGCTATCTCAAAGTCCTTGACACTCTGCAATCCATCTCAGCAGCCTGTCAAGGCTTATTGTGAGCATACATCCTCCAGTTAATTGCAGACGGGTCCTGTCACGTGTGGTGGGCTCTCCTTGCTCTCAGTGGCAGGAAGTGTTGATTAGCTCTTCCGTCTGCCTCCTCTGGCAGGCTTCAGGAGCTGCTCCTGCACCAAGAGCTCTTGACACACCTCACTTTCACCCAACAGCGATGTTTGACAAAAAGGCCATCCCCAGCCAGCACTGCACGTCTTTATTCATCAGTCAGCATGAGGCTCTCCAACCTAGCTAGCTGCCTTTTTCAAGGCTTTAAGCTCCTGAGCAGGTTTGGAAGGTCCCACCTCTTGGGTACCAACATAAAACCCTAGCCCTTTAATTTAATATCACCTTCCTTGATGGTATCATTTAACAAAGGGATCATCTGTTTGCAGCAGAATTCTTTTCCCCCTCAGGATTAATTGCTCCAGCTCCCAGAGGCAGAGATTGACAGTGGCCTACTCCTCTACCAGCTGCTGTTCTGTGTGGGGGAACTAGGCTTGTGTATGTCACCTGGAGCAAGTGGCAGAATAACGAAAAAAAAAAAAATGCCAAAAGAAGACTTGCCTCTGCTCGTTCTTATTCCAGAAGACTCAGTCTGTCTTTCTGTGGATGTTCAGAGGCTGAACGCTGAATCTACTCCAACTTTATACTTTTTTCTTGAACTAGACAGTTACAGTGATTCGGGACAGCCAGACACAAAAATGCTGGGGCATCTCTGTCTTTAGTCCCTTGGGGTAACTTGAAAGGGACTGTTTGTGAGACCTTTGAGGCTGAAAGCTGCTGTGATGCAACTGATTTCCTTATGTTAACTACTAGTTGTTAGTCACATAAAATTGTCAACGCAGTGCTCGTGTCAGCCCTAATATACCACTTCCAAAAGAAAAGCAGCTGGTAATAAAACGGTTCCGAGAGAAATACACACACCTCTAACATAAATAGAAAATTAAATTCAAACCTGTCAGTTTTATTTACCCAGGAACTCAGATATGAATCAACCTCTGAATGAAAATGGCAAATATAACTTCCCCTGCCTTGCTGTATTATTCTGTGTTCAATTTTAGTTTCTCTTCTGGGAATTCACATCATTCACCTCTTGAGGGTTATCTGCCTTACAGCCTGGCGGAGTGAATGTGTTCTTCTTTCCTTTTGTTGAAAAAACTTTTCTGGTACCGCAAGCTGTCAGCACAATATAACCACAAAGATTTTTTTTGGTGGTGGGAGCAATGACAGCTGCTTTTGTTGTTCACTGTAATCATTCACTGCTGAAAAAGGCCCTACCGCTGGGGTGGAGCGTGCTGGGCTTCGCCACCAAGGGAAACACCCAGGCACAGAGATACCAACCACTGAGAAATTTCTATAACGTGCAGCGTAGGTGCTCCATCTCCACGGAGCAGCCAAATACCCAATTCCTTGCCTCATGCAAACTTAAAGTGAAAAGAACAAAGCCATTTTTTTCCCCACTGAGATTTGAAGCAAGCACATCAACCTTGACATTCTTCCTTTCTGCCTGCCGCAAAAGTGGGGGGTGTAAGGGAAACGGGGAAATGGTTTGATTGTGCCATTGCTGTAGGGTTAGCTGCGCTCTGCTGCTGGAGACCTTTCTGCTTGCAGATGATATTTGGGGTAAGCTGTACAACCCCTGTTCAGAAGCAGAGAGGGATTTGCCTATGTGCAGATGTTTATGTGAACGTACACGTTAAAACAGATTTTAATCTAGTGTTTGTGGTAGGAGCTACAGCTTAGTGGAAAGAAAGGAAAGATCCCTTTGTGCGCATTCACGTTGTCCTTGGCGTATCTCATTGCCAACCGTGGTGTTTGGTTTGCCTTCCTAGAGAACAGATTTCAGAAAGCTGGGGGCTAGCATGGTCATCTCATCTGTAGGCAGAGCGCGTGGTTCTGACCTGCCACATGGCCTGGTTTCATTTGAACAAGCAAGACAGAGGTTCTCAGTACTCAGTTTTACGTGGAAGGTAACTCAGTACTGTTGGGTTTCTTGCCTTTTTTACAAAAAGAAGACAGAACGTAAGACTACAGCAGAAAGATGCCTTTGTTTTCATTTGATGATCTCAGTGATGGTTGGGTTATGTGACCAGAAGTGGAAAGGGTCTTTGTCTAACATAGGAACAGCTTACTTCCTTGTGGGGCACCAGCCCTTCACTTTGACTGATGTTCCCATTGTAGGCCTGGTCCCAGCACTCGTTTGCAATCTCTGCTCAGAAGGCTCAGTTCTCCTCTGGCCACTATTTCCTGCAGTTAAAGCTCCCTAGCTGGCGTTTTCTGACTGAGGGGGAGCCGTGAAGTCGTATGACTTGGGGAAGGAGCAGAGATAACAATGAGCACCCATCTGCTCCTCTCTTCCATCCCTTCGGGATGTCCGGGTGTCCCCTGGTTAGAATTCCCCTCCAGATAAGATAGTGGAGGTGTCACCGTGGGGCAGTCAGGCAAGAAAACAATAGCGAGTTGCGTCCAAAAAACAAGATCGATCAGTAACTGCACCTCCGTTGTCAGTAAGGGGCAGAGCTGCTCTGGAGAGGTCAAGGCTGGTGTTGTACCCCGCATCCCTTCAGCTTCTTCCTCTGATAAACTTCCACAAGCGCTATCCCAGTTGCTTTTCAGAAAGCCTGGGGTCAGAAGCTGCACTGAGAGGAAGGCTGCAAGAGCCACAGCGTGTGCAAGGGCTTCCAAGGCTGTGTTACTCAAGGAGTAACTGTGCCTCGGTTGAGTGGGATGTTCCAGTACTTGTTTTTCTGCCTCTGCTTTGTTGTCCAGCTGCAGCCAGTGTCTTCAATGGGTGAGTGAAGAGCCATTGCTTTCTAGCTTATTCTGTTCACCATCTTTAAGGTTCGTGTTCTTAGGTGACAGGCTGGGAGATGTGAGAGAGATCCTTTATCTTCGACTGTGGTGTGAAATTTCTTCCAGGTGGAAAGGTCTTTGTCTCAGAGCGTGGTGCCTTCCCTACTGGGAGAATCTTCGCTGCTAAGCACTGGGAGATTTTCTTCTCCTCTAGCAGGAGAGACTCTACACATAGCTGTTAAGCTACTTTTTCACCCCTTCCCTGGCAAATCTGAATTGAATTTAGAGTCATAACGCAGTGCTGCTTATTTGTGCCAGAGCAGACCTCCAGTACACAGGGCACGTAGGATTAATCTCTGAAGAATGGTGGGCTTATGAATGCCTGCTAGAGTCCGATTTGTCATCCAGTATATATGTTAGCATGTCAGCCAGAGAGCTAATGATACCATCAAGATTACAAATTGTAAAGCTTTACTTGATGGCTGATGCTTGTCAGGCTGAATTGCTCAGGCCACGCAAAAAGTGTTGGGGAGGAAAAAAATTGAGCCATGAAAAATGGAGGGGACTGGAGACAGTTGTATGTCTTGAGCAAAACCCAGCGCCTTCAGCCTCTGGGGAGAAGAGAAGAGAGGTTGATTGGCTGGTTCTTTATTACTGTGGAGTTTCTTCATAAAAACTCAAATTAGTTTTCAGTAAGCTGTGGCACAGAGCGCTTTGTGTCTGTGGGAGGTTGGCCTGGGGCAGCATTGGCAGTCCGAGGGGGCCATACAGGTCTGCAGTGCTCTAAAGAGCAACGGCTGCTTTTCCTGCTCGTCTACTTGCTCTTCAGGCCATCCTGAAGCTCTCAGAGAAGTGAAAGAGGGGAGGGGGTGCTACCTCATTTCCCCTGAAGTGCTTGCTTCCAGCTCCCTCTGAGCCACCGCATCTTTATCTCAGTGAATTTTGTCTTTAAATTATCTCCTGTCTGTTTAGGAGACAATGTGATTTCCCAGCATGAGTGTTTGCAGAGTCTATCTACAAAAGATATTTCATAAAGTTAATTATACTGTATAAGAGCTAATGAGAGTGTGTGTATTTCTGGTGCTGCCCAGCTGGGAAGCTGACAGGGCATTCCTTGCTTTGCCTCGTTTGGCTTTTAACACAAAAAGCTTTTAATCTTAGTCAGTGACTCACCCTAAGGCCGTACCAAATCATGTTGTGGAAGCCAAGAGCGTTACACCGAGGGAAGCCCAGAGGAAGCTATTTTCAGCTGTGTGCAGAGAAAAGGCAGGACAAGTGTTTTCTGGTCTTGAGAAGTCAAGTGAGCTTTTGGAGCATAGGATTGAACAGCACTGCTGCTGTCTGTGGGTAAGGGCAGGAGGCAAGGAGAGGCAGGTAAAAGAGAGAGCTCATGAAGAAATGCCTGCCAAATCCCAACAGACTCCTGCTGCAGTCCTCCTCCTGCTCCTCGGGAGACCTGAGGGCTGCCTGTGGTGAGAGCAGATCTGCTGCTCTGCATATCCCATGAATTATGGCACTGGAAAGCACCTTTGTAACCCAGAGCTGCTCTCCCTGTGCCAGCTTGCAGCTCTGCAGCACTCTTGTGGCTACAGCAGCTGCTCCTGTCTTTTAGACTGTATTCGAGGCCAAACAAAACGTGACGGTGGCCGAGGACAGCACAAGGATTTTAGTGTAGAGAAATGCTGTGTTAGTGGGGAGGTGCAGGACAGCACGTCAGTGAGGCAGATGTTTACAGAGGGTGCAGCTCACTAAGGGTGACCTGAAGTCCCTGGTCAGAAGCACACAGACTTCCCATTTTCAAGTCAGTGAAGCACATCAAAATACTGAACCAAGAAGGTTTGTCTGCATCCAGAGCATTCTGGTAAAAAAAACATAATGTGTCCTCCCCACCCCAAATTGCATCAGCTATTGTTCAAGCAAAATAAGAGAGAACAGTTTTAGAACTTGAAATGCGATGCAGAAAGTACAGTGTATTCCAGGCTGCCAGCGTTTAATCAGAATGATTGGTTTTATTAGCCTACTTCTAGCAAATGATAATCAATTCTCCTTACTCAAGACAATATTAGCATTCATTTCACTTAATAGGGAATGGTTAGTCACAGGTAAGTGGTGCTTAATCAGGTATTAAATGTACGTGGAAGTGAAACCCCTGGGCTTGTAGTGAGGAAGCTGCCAAATCAGGGTTAATTAGGAGAAGACTGAAAATGTAACGAACACTTTAATTCTTCATTTTTTTCTCCCTGTGCTATTCTTCTGTAGTAATTATTTGCAGAAAGTTCAGAAAGGGCTTGAAAAGGAACACGCTTCTCGAGCCTGGCGTAAACAGACAAGTACCCACCAAGAGGTCCACGTGTTTGTATCTTGCCCTCACAAACAAACACTTCACTCACAAACATCTCATCTCTTGTGGAGATCAAGAGGGTTTGTGGGCTTGCAAGGAACGTGACTGCGTAGAGCCAAACATTTTGAAGGTCCTTATTCAGACCCTCGTGCTCTCTAGTTTTTAAGATAATAAATCAAGAGATCTGAGGAAGCTGTGTCAAATGCAGGGAGGCAACATCATCCCACAAAAATGCAATAGATAAATCATGAAGGTAGGCAGCACATTGGCAGAGGGAGAAGTGGGTGATGGAGGTCCTGCAGAAGACCAGGGTGGTCTTAAGGGGGGGGCTGCTTTTTCTCCCTGTTGATCCACTGCAGCATTTACAAACTAGATGGATTTGAGTTATAGCTCTTTAAACTCACCGTGGTACAAGCATGCACAGCTGTACAAGAGACACTGAGGAACAAAGTCCAGTAAATGGAGCAGGGTCACTTTCTCCTGCCTCACCTCTCTTGGTTAGAGACAGTCCGCTGGGCTATAGATCAGCTCCAATGTGACATGGAATAGGCAGTTCTTATATTCTGCTGTTTAAAATTGTGCCCTGAAATGAGGAGGAGCTGATAAATTATGCTTGCAGATTACTTGCAATTATATAGGAGTCTAATAACTGAAATTGCGTATTTTCTTTCTGTACGCCTTAAATGTAGCGTTCCTGTCCGATGTCTTGCAGTTCACCTTTTAACTGACGCTTTGCAGGGTGATCTCTGGCTGTGGTTTGGCAACTTGACTGTGAGGGCTGAAACAAGCTGTAGGTGGATTTTTAGAGAGGCTGCGTAACCTGTTTGAACCCTTGTCCTCTTCTCCAGGACATCACCAGTCGCTTCAGGAGGGGCTTGCAGAGGCTCAGTTAGCGCTTGACCCAAGGGTGGATGTCCTGGGCTTGACCCAGTGCTCCCAGGACATACTTGTGGTAAAAATCCCTCCCCAGACCTCAGGTTTGCTTATGTATTTTTTTTTCCCCTGTCATACCCTACAGCAGCTAAGAGCAAGTCAGGCTGTTGCATAATGTTGTCAGAGCTCAGATAGTTCATTCCTTCCAAGACATTCAAGCCAAGCTGTCAGAATTTTCCATGAGGCAGTTAGTTAGCTGGTACTGCTGTCTCACCCCAGGGATCTCTATCTATCACAACGATTCTGTTAAGTCAGGAGTAGAAAAAGAAAATTTGTTGCGCTCCTTGCAATTATAAATCAACAACTCAATCTGTATCTGCTAGATGTTCTCTCTTGTGTCTTGCTGCTTCTCTCAGCCCTGGACCCCTGCTCTGCCTACATCAGCCTGAACGAGCCCTGGAGGAACACGGATCATCAGATAAATGGCTCCCACGGCCAGCCCACGTGCGACAGTCAGATCGACGGCGAGTGGTATCGCTTCACTGGCATGGCTGGCGATGCCATGCCTACCTTCTGCATCCCCGAGAACCACTGCGGGACCCATGCTCCCATCTGGCTGAACGGCAGCCACCCGCGAGAGGCGGACGGCGTCGTCTCGCGCCAGGCCTGCGCCAGCTTCAATGGCAACTGCTGCCTCTGGAATACCACGATAGACGTCAAGGCGTGTCCGGGAGGGTACTACGTCTATCACTTGACCAAGCCCAGCGTTTGTTTCCATGCGTACTGCGGGCGTAAGTAGCTGCAGAAAGCTCTTTTCTGAAACCCACTCATCCCCACAGGGCAGGAAAGGTAGCGAGGATCCAGACACATGCGAGAGACTGAGTGATTTTTGCTTTCTCACCCAGAGCACGTCAGGTGATGCAGTGCCTGCCTGCACGGTGCTGATCAGCCTGCTTCACCTCCGTGAGTTCCAGCCTTCAGTCAGCTAGCGGAAAGTTTCCATAGCCGACCTGGCTGCAATGATTTAATGCTCACTGTGGGTCCTGTGGTTTGTCTTGGCACGCTACCAAAGCCATGATTTGCATCTCTGACTTAGAGTAATTAAACCAGATTGTTTCTGATCAGCTTCAGCAGTTCGGCTTCCTTGTTGTGGGCCAGGGTGCGAAGCTGACGGTACAAATGCAGTATTTTCAGTGCACGCTCAGTGGTTTGTGTTGACAATGCTCTCGTTGTGCCCTAGATTTTTATGACATCTGTGATGTGGTGGATTGCCAGGACTCCTGCCTGGACACCAATGACTGCACATGTTCCCTGGGGACAACGCTAGGACCTGACGGACAGACATGTCTGGGTGAGTGCAGAAACAAGCTGTGGCAATCTTTGCTGCCAGTAGCAGTCTCCTTGCAAGATCCTGATACAGTGTCATGGGTTTTCAGGAAGGGCTGCGCGTTCTGTCACTAGAAATCCTCCCAGATTCTTTCCTCCAAGACTCTTGGCTGGCATGGGGCTGCACCCTAAGCTTTGCTGTACCTACTGCCCTTGTGGGGTGCTGGCCAGGGACTGGAGGAAAGCAAAAGGATTGTGGGCTGCAGCACAGCCTCGGTGCTTTGGGCAGCATGACAAGGCAGTGCTCAGGGGGCTGGCACTTGGTGGCTGTGCTGGCAGGGACCTGCACGACCAGGAGGGGTGGAGGCAGCATGTGAGAGCAGAGCAGGGAAGGTGGGGTTTAGGAATTTGGGAGGGGATCCCCATAAACTCCTGAGGAGAGGACAGCTGCTGTTGTGCGTGTGGTGCTGGGCTGTGAGGTCTTGGGAAGAAAATGGGGCAGGAAGGGGCCAGGAAGGGGTGGCTGCTGGGGACCTGCAGATCCACGCTGATGGATGGATGGAAAGAGGTGATGTGGGGGGAGGAAGGGGTGCTAACATCTGGGGGAAGTGGGATCTCAGCTTTGTCTCCGAGGCTTGATTTGGTGGAGAAGTTGTGAGCAGAGCTGGCCCAGGAGGCTGTGTGGCAGATGAGTTTTCTCCATACAGACTGGAGCTGACAAAGCAGGCGTGGGTGGTTTCTTTCTTCACACTCCTCTTGTCTGTGGGCATCAGGGTAGGGGCCACAGTTGTTGCAGTCTGTGGAAAGAGCAGCCTGCCCCTGCTGCAGATTTATGCTTGCTCACCCTTTCTACAGGATAGTTTTACTAAAACTGCTCCATCTCTCTGCAGCCGAGTGACTGTAATTTGCTGTGAGACTGACTGTGCTCTCACAGCAAATTAAAAGCATCTATCGGCTGCTTCTCCGCAAGACCTGCAGGCACAAGTGCCCCTGGCAAGCAGCAGCACTCGATAAATGTGTGGCAGGCTCAGGAAAGGCCTGCCTGCACGTGCTGGCGATACCTTCATCCTTCTGAGGCCAGGTGGGGCAGGATTTCTGCACTGCTGCTTCTCCTCACGATAAGCAGATGGCACAAGGGTTCAGCTGTAATAATCACATCCGTTTACCTGCCGTCATCCTCTCTTGTCATATGGCTCAGTTTTCCTTCTACCAACTTTGTGTTATGCTGAGGAACTGCACATTCATGCCTGCTTTGAATGCAATCCCACCGGCCTTCTGAGGAAAACAAACAAGTCTGTGTTGGCCTTTCCTGTGCCTTTCCCCTGTGGGGAATGTTCTCCCCTTCCCAGCTCGCTGGGAGCTGAGGATGCTGCAGTAATGCAAAGCAGCTCGTGTCTGTGAACCTCCCCTCTGCTGGACTGACTTCTCTTCAGTGTGTTAGATGCTCTGAATCCCATTTAGAACTGCTGATCCCAATTTGTATTGCCATTTGCAAACTTACCCGGGGGTTAAAGTTAGCTCTTACATTTTGTAATGGAGCCACCAGTTCCACTGAAGGTGAATTGCTGGGTACAGCCCTTTCCCAAGCCAAGCTCTAGGACGTCCTAGCAACATTTCTGAGCCTTTGCTAGCAGCCCTCTTGCTGTTCACCCTCTGTTTTTTAGCAGCTTTAGTTTTATTTTTAGAAGGGGAAGTGTGGAGCCTGTAGAGTTGTGGAAAGGGAAGTGTTTGTGTCTCTCCTGGATGTGCTTCCTCCCTTCCAAAGCTGGGTAGCAGACATTTCTTTGGCTAAAATACTCAATTCCCATCACCTGCGGAAGGAGCTGCCACCACCGGCTGCAAGCTGCAGATTTTGTCTTATGTCTGGGACCTCTTTCACCTGAGAGAGAGCATCTCTGACCTGTCTCTTAAAGTGGTGTTTGTCTTTTCTTGTTTTTAAGCTTCTGACAGCTAGTAAATGGTAGCTCCTAAGCTGTTTTGGTGGAACCCCATGTGAGCAGTGATTGATAACCTCAGCATTCTGGCCTGCCTGCGAGAAATCATCAGTTTTGTGGCTCGGCAATAGCAATGGCTGCGCCTCCCTCTCTCCTATTTGATTCACTTACTGCACACAGATTAAATAAGGCTGAAGAATGAGAATCTCAGAGAACAAAGTACTTTTCCCCCAAAAAAAACAAAAAAACAGATAGATGGACACAGAGGAACTGTAACCTTTAAATAGAGAAAATCAGGAGAAGTTTTCACAGCTTTAACCGAGAGACTGAAAAGCATCTTGTGTGGTTTTTCAGTTAATAAATACCTGTTTCTGTTCTGCGAGAGCACTTGAGCTGTCCGGGGCAGGGAGCAGCCAGAACCAGGGCAAGGAGACAGAATGCTGAAGTTTCTCAGGATGTAATTTTCTTGGGGAAGCTCCATGGAATTCATTGTGTGTTTTGGTTTGATTTCAGCTTTGTTTATATGTTTACAGCTGTTTTTTTATTCTTGTGCCTTTATTTTGAAATAAAGGTTGAATCATTCAAAGTTGCTACAGGGTAATTGTACACATGTAGCAGCAGCAGGTGTGATGCAAAAATAGATGGGGTTTATTTCTGACAGATTCTGGTATTCACCTGCTTTCACCGGGTAGGGAAGTCGTGTTCATTGTAACATCTTTGTGAACGGGGGGGGAAATGGTTTAGGATGAGAGAATAAATGAAAGCTTGAGCTCCCTCAGGATGTGGAACTAATTTGGAAGTTTCCCAGTGGGACTGTGTCTTTACTCTGAAATGGCTGCTGCATGCACGCAGCTTTTCCCCATGACTGCTTTGCTCCTGAGCTAGACACAGCATGACAAAACACTGCTGCTGTCACTAGGCAGAGGTCTTTATTGCTTAGTGGGATATCATGGGGCTAGGAAATCGACTCCACAGCCCAGCCAGCGCTCCCCTGTAGCAGCCCCTTTTTGCCAGATGCGTCTACCAGCGGGCACGTTCTGACAGTTTGCTTTTTGCAGATGAAAATGAATGCGAGCAGGGCAACGGAGGCTGCAGCGAATTTTGCGTTAACCTGAAGAACTCCTACCGCTGTGAGTGTGGGGTTGGGCGCACGCTGGGGAGCGACGGGAAGACCTGTGAAGGTGAGGTTTCAGCTCTGACAGCCTGCTGGGAACAGCGTAAATCATTCCCTTTCCCTGGCCGTGCGAGTTCTGTCTTGGCCCCTTGCAGCGGGGATGAAATGTCAATCATATCACTTCCCTGCTTGCCAGTGATGCTGTTCCTGAAACAGCCTTCTAATCAAGCAGAGAGGAGCCTCCTGGTTGTGCTCCCTGCCTCGTTCATTTCTGTTGGGATTTGCTTGTGTTTTTCCCTGCAGGGGGAAAGGCAGCAGTGCATCTGAGAGACTGGTTGTCCGGACAGAGCCAGTTATTGCTGGAGGTGCTGGGATGTGGCTCAGGAGATTTGTATGATAAGCGTGGAGGGGAAGATTTAGCTTTACTCTTCTTTCACAGCTGGCATTAGGTGTGGGGTAATGTCATGAGATTAGGCTAGAGTATGAGGATCTCTTCTCCTCCCAGGACAGTGACCGAGGAGAGAGGGAGCCCGTGTGTGAGCAGAAGCCAGAGTTAAGATGAGGGCTGCATTTGGCCTGTTCAGTTTTTGTAAGGGATTAGTTGTGGGCTCGGCTGTACGCAGCTACAGCAGTTACCTCCCTGTAGTGGCACAGCAAGGTAGAAAATCTTTGAAGAGTTTAGACTGGTGGCTTGGCAGGGACTTACAGACCAAGCTGGTGTTTTGGGCTGTTGTCACTAGCAATGCACAAACATCTTTGGGCAGGAAAAAAAAAAAACAGCAAATCCTGACTGGTGCCTGATGTGTTCTGTGGTCAGCCCAAGTATGATCATAGAAACTGTGGGGCCTCAGGTAAGACTGATAGCTACCGAAGTGCCTCACTTTGGAGCCACTTAACTGCCAGAACTGAGTACATCTGCAGCCTGCGTGCAGCCTTACATTAGCTGCTGAGTGGCAGGCATCCGTGCTGCAGAGAAAGAGAGAGAGGTGGATATTGTATTTTTGGGCTGGCTGCCACTCCTCTTTATGGTACACTGACAGATGGTTCCAAGCTGTGGGTTTTGTTCCTTTTTCTCCCCTTAGATAGCAAAGCACCTTTCATTTCACTTTTGTGAAAATGTCCTCTCCAAGCTCTGTTAACAAAACGTCAGTCATCCAGACTACTCCTGGACTCCTTGTTCAGTTGTCCAAAGCCCAAACTGATCAGCAGGCTTTGTCCCTTCCACATCCAGCACTGAGCTGCCGGGGTGTCACATAAACCAGCCGTGCTACGTGGCAGGCTGTGTTCTTGAGCACTGCAGGTTTCTGACAGGGCTGGAATAGCCTGCGCTTGGAAACTCATTTGTTTCTGCCGTTCCCAAAGTTGGAATTTAGGGCCTTTGATATATCATTTAATTTCCCCTTCTGCAAGAAGGATGGTGCTTTCCGTGAGTTTAACATTGCTGCTGGGGATTTTTACAATCTTGTTAGTGAGCTGTGTTTCTAAAGATGTGCCCTCAGCTTTGTGAGCCATTAGAGTATGTGATTTACTTGTGAGCCACTGCACAGCTGGTGCTGAAAAGAATGAATGCAAGAGATTTAGCTTGATTACCTGAGCTGGTCAGACTGAGTAGGGTTAAGAGTATCTCAGCGTTTCCTTCACAATGTTTTACCAGTTACTTTGACTCACGTGGAGTGTTGAGTCTGTTGTTTTCCATGCAATGGGTCAGATCGAGTATGGGTTTTCTGTTGTTTTCTTTACATTTCAGTTAAAACCACGCAGTCGTTTGTGATGGCATGCTTAGGGAGAAATATTTTGTCTTTGTGATTCATACACGTTATATTTACTCCTATTTTGCTGAGAACATCTAGCAGTATTCATCACAAAGGGTTAAAAAAAATCAATCAGAGAAGATTATTTAAAACAACCACTCCTTCCATCCATGACATATTCTTTATAGAAAATTGTAGAAGACCACCGACAACTGGAAATGATCTTATTTCCTTTACTTTTTCAAATCTTCAGAGTATATTTGTATGATCCTTCAGACTCTTCCACAGCTGTAGTGGCTGTGAATATGTTTTACGTGAAAATTCAGATTCTCAAAGAACAGCCTCACCTGAACAGTAACAGTGTAAGAAAAACCATGAGAAATCCCCCAGTTAGCTGTGCTGCTCTCTCCCCTCTGCACATTAGATGGGAAAAATTTAGGAGTGGAACCAACCTTACACCATGAGCTTGCATCTTTCTGTCCCTGTAATAATGCACCTCCGGGAGCAAGCCTCTAAGCCAAAAATGCAGTCTTAAATAAGCAAAAGTCCTGCTAAATAAACTCCTACAAGCAGAATTTCTTCCTCAGCTTACAAAGGGGGTGCAGCAGTATCTGGGATGCCACCACCTCATGTCTTCCCTCTGCTGTTTCCAGCTGGGGATAGGAACTGGCTGCCTGGGAGTCTGTCCTCCCTGAGACATTTTTCCCTCACCTTTTTGAGGTAAGAAACAACATAAACACTTAGATTTAGAGAATGTCTTGGAAGCTAGGAAGGACCAAGCTGAAGATTGCTTATTCAGCCTCTTTGTGTAAGTCAGTTACAGCACGTGGTTTAATTTGGTAAGCTTTTTCATGGAATTCCTTGTTGACTTCATGATGAAATGGCAAACACAGGAATTGGACAATTAAAAATAGGTTTGCGCTGCATCTTCTTGGAAGCAAACTCTCACCGTGCTGCTGCCTTCAAGTTCTGTGCTGGTCACGCTGTTAGTCAGTGAATATGCTGGGGCCTGCATAGCTTCCTGTGGAGCAGGGTGTGCTGATTTTCCTGTCTTTTGCAGAAATCGAAGGCTGTCACAATAACAATGGAGGCTGCAGCCATACCTGTATTGAAGTGGAAGACTCATACCAGTGTGAATGTCCGAGGGGACTTGTTCTGTCAGAAGACAACCACACTTGCCAAGGTAGGTCAACAATTAGGAGACCGGGCAAAGAATCCTCCTGACAGCCTGTGGTCCCTGCACATGAAAAGCACATTTGAAGGGACTTTTCCTCTTGATTTTGTTGTGTTCTGTTAGTCTCTCCTTTTCACTTTGGTTAATGGAGCTTTGTCGTGAACAACAGGACAGACAGATCATCCAGAACTGACAGCCCGGGGACATGGCTCTTTTTACCAAGCAGAAGAGAGACACAGGACCCAGCTGGGTGCATCTTGCATCACAGGCGGGTTTGGCAGTGTTCGCTTACAATTGAGATTGCTAAACACCTCCCATTATATTGTTCTGCTTCAGCTGTGTATGCCTTTGCCAAATTTACGCTACTAGAACTGAAATTTTCCATGCCTCAAAGCGGGCTTTTGAAATTTCAGCTGAAGTGGTTCAGTCACTTCCAAGAATGAGGCTAAAAGAAAAAGAGAGAGGCATTTTTTGCCCAGTTTCTCTGTAGCCACTCCAGTAAGCATTCCCATGCCTTGTAGCAAGACAGTAGCTCTGGTACTGGTACTTTTTTTCTGCTGTCCCGTGGAAAAGTGCTCAAGATTGCATCTGAAAATTGACTGTTGATGCTTCTACATAGAGGCAAGGGCAACACTGTTCTTGGAAGGTGTCCATGTGAAGTCTACTCCATTCCTGCACACCAGGAGTAAGTCCTTGCCAATTCACATTCACCTATGGCATGCTCCTGGAATAAACAGGTTCCCTTTCCTGGGTTGCAAGAGCTGAGTGAGATTTCCTGTGCAAATACCTCCAGGCTCCCAGGAGATAGTCTGGCTCGAGCAGTGAGTGCAGGGAGCAGAGAATCAGGGAGGCAGGTCCTGAGGCTACTGAGAGTTAAGCAAAGTCTGTAGCTGCTCATGCAGTGACTTCTTATAATCCAGAACTTGAATCCAGGAATCTTTTGGGCCTCATAATCCTACATCTAGCTGACTCCCTGAGGTGCAGAAAGCAACGAGCAGCCTGTGTCTTACAGAGATGTCTACTACGATCCTCTGCTGAAAGGGCATAAAGTTCAGAACTGCGTGCTGAGAGAGCCATGTGGGTGCACAAAAGGCATGCAGAGGTCATGTTCTCCGTTGGCCTTGTCTGACTTACCAGGCCACTTTGTAGTCCTGGCAGGCATGGCACAAAGCTGGAGAAGGGGCATGCCCTGGTAGGGACAGACCACGCTGAATCTCTGGTGGTCTGATGTGTTACAGACTGCCCAGGCTTCATTTAGAGAAACAGATCCAGACTTCATGGTGGCCAGCGCAGCAGATCTGCCCCAGAGGGACTGCTGGAATCATTCTATTTGGTGCAATTTCTGCTCTAAGCTTTGTAGAAATGCAAGCCATACAAGGCTAATTTTGCAGTCATATAAAATTAGCACAAGAATTAGAGGAAAGACAGGTATTTATATGTATATATAATGACTCCCTTTCATTTCAAGAAATGAAATGAAATTTATTTCAAGAAAGAAAGGGATTCAGCAGCGTCTGTTTTATCCCGTGTGCGTGTGACTATTAACCCACATCCCAGGCACAGTCCTGCGGGGCAAGGGCGGGTGGTGGCCCTGCAGGAAAGGAGGCTGTTTGGCTGCAGGTCTCCTGGTAGGAAGGTACATGGTGAATGATGTAGGGGTGTCCCTGGAAAGAAGCAAGCCTTGCAGTTGGGGCAGCCGGTTGTTCTTCTGGAGTGCCACCTCCCAGCCTCACTCCCTTGGGAGTGACACAGGAGCAGTGGCATCTCCTTGTCCCCTTCTCTCCCCACCGCTGAAATACCTAATGCTTGGAATTGCTTACGTAGCAGAAAAAGACTTGCCAAGAGCCTGGAAGAAAGTGCTGCATCTGCAGAGATCCTGTCTTTGCTGCCCTGCAGGCAAAGCTAAGGCTGATGGCTGCCTGCAGCAGGGCTGAGTTGCCCTCTGCTGCCTGGAATCCCCTGCTTTGGCATTTTGAATTCATTTAGGGTGCAACCTGAGCTTCCTTTTCACACCTCCAGTCTCTTCTCCTGTTTCCAGGGGTGAGCACTGCACCCTTGGGATTTGGTGCTGCTCGCTGCTTCAGCAGAGCCAGGCGGGGATGGGGATTTCCAGGAGCTGTGATTATTCATGTTTCTTGAAGGTGAGATTGATGGATAGAGGCCAGAAAAGAGCAGCGTTCTTCAGCCTGGCTCCCCGAGGCAACCCCAGCAGGGATAGGAGGCCACGCGTTTCCCAGCCAACGTTTCTCCTCCTTTGGAGGCTGCTAATGAGACCGGCAGCACTGCCGGGTGCCGAGCTGGGGCTCGGGATACGACATCTCATCAAGCAAGATTGCTTGTTCTTTTGCATTTCATGAATTTATGTCCCTATCCACTGGTCTGCAGTTTTGAGGAGATATGACAGAATGTATCTGGAACCGTACCACACAATTCTTTATGGCATCTAATCAGGTTTATAGCGATACAATTAACGGTGCAGGGCAGGCACAGTTGCCTGGAGCATTGGATCTGTACCTTATCAACCCTCCCCTGCACTGCCTGTACTTTGAGAACAAATATTAATCTTCCCCCACAGAAATCACAGCCTGGGTTGCCATTTTCTCACAAGGATCCCAGCCAGCCATACCAGCTGGAGTTTTGCAGACCACCTTCATGCCCCACCTCTTCTTGAAGTGTTTGGTGAAATGCTTTTCTCCTCTCCCATGTCCCAGCTGTGCGTGTGTTCACAGGGAATGATGGTGTAGCTTCTTTGTGTTTGTAGGAGTGGTTCAGGGCTCCCCAGCAGCAGGGAGCCTGTTCTGCCACACACAACGATAGCCCCTGCTCCGAGCAGCTGTTCTGTGAGAGGCTGAGGAGGGAGCCACGGGCTGGATAAGGATCAGGGTGCCAACTGCTGGCAGCACTGTAAGCACTGGCCTGGCCACAAGCTTCCTCCCGTGCTCAGGGTACCTTGTAGGCAAGTTCAAGGTGCGTAACAAGGAGTGTGATGTGATGTGATGTGATCACAGTTGCTCTGCATGAGGGTGAGGAACCGACCCATTTGACTGGCATAGCCTCAGAGAGGCTTCAAGGAGCCTCACAGCCTGCACTGAGCCAGGCTGGGCTGCACATCTGACAGCAAGACAGGAGAGTGCAGCTCCCTGAATGGTTGCAAAGATCTGTGACTAAAAGAGGGTTCCCTGGCAGCCAGGATTACTCCTTTCTGCTCTGGAATAACGCCTGCATGCAGTCACCACTGCCTTGCCAGCTCCTCGTCAGCCACCCCATGTCCTCTTTGTCTGTCCTGGGGGAACCAGGAGTGCTCAGAGCTGAATCACGCTGCTGCAAGCAGTCTCTGCTTGCACCACATCATGAAGCTGAGAGAATGGAAGCACAGTTCCTAGTATCGATTACTCCTCGGCGTGCAAATGTCTAATGCGGTTTGAATTACATTACCAGTTCTTCTGAGGAGTTTCCCAGAGCACATTGCTCAGCAGCGGTGAGCCTGAATCACAAGCAGAGCTGCTCACAGGCATAGCCACACCTGCTTTCATGCGCTTGTTTCTGTGCTGAGGTGGTGGGAGGCACACGGGCAGTGCCAGAGCAGTGGTTATATAGGGCAGTTGCTTCTCCTTTCTTCCCTTCAGTGCCAAAGACATTTAGGAGCAGCTATAGCATGAACAAAAGTGGTGCTGAACTCTGCAGAATTGCAGCTGGGATCCAAACCCCCTTGCCCAGAAGTACACCCTTATGAAAGCATTAAGTGTTTGTATTCATCAAGGAGTCACTAGAACAGTGAAGCTCTAAACGCGCATCGAGCCGTTCCGTTCTCCAGGGCACATTCTTCTCTCTGTCTGCATTGCACTGTGTTCTCCAAGTCCCTTTGTCTCCTTGTGAGCTTTGCCATTTGACTTGCTCAGTTATTCCCACTTGCCTTCTTCTTTGAGTGGGGGAAATGTTCAGGTAATTCTTAGTTCATTAATTTTCCATTCTAACCCAGTAATGTCATTAGTGTATTGCTTTGGGCATGCTGCATGTATTTTAGCATATCACCTTGAAAATAATGAGCTTTCAAAAAAATATATTCCCTCCAGATACACAGTAACTGTTACAAATATACTGTAGCTGGGACAGGAGAATTTTCTTTTGGAGGGGGCAGGTTTTGGAACTGTTCCTTGTGTCCGAAATGCATAATCAAGTTATATAAACTTGATCAGAATTAGGTGGAGACAGATCATCGGAATGTCAAGGATGGGGAGTATAATTAATTTTAAGGAGAAGCTTGGGGAGCCAAGTATATTTGCAGAAAGTTTTGTCATGTGATTTTAAAATATGTTAAATGATAATTCTAGAGAGGGTTTATTTTTCTGGTTGAGAAGGGACCAAAATACAAGGAACACTATGCCCTATAGCTAATTGAATAGACATGTCTCCAACCAAGGAATACGTGTACCAGTTACTTCCATGTTGGAAGTTATTTCCCATTCTTACCTTTTTCATTTTGTCTAGTCTGTGCACTTTCTCCCACTTCTTATGTAGTAGAATTTAAACAAAAAATAAAGCTCACTTGGAAGTCTTTTATGAAAATTAAAAGCAGTTTGGTAAGAGGTGGAAGGAGCTAATTGAGTTTGTCAGAGCTGGGTATGTTGCTCATAAAAATATTGATTATTATGTCATTATGGGATGCTTCCATTTTGTTTAGGCATCCGTATGGAGTCATTCTGCCTTGTTTTGACACGTTCTGTGTTTGATGTAAAACCTGATAAAGGGTCTTAAAAATGGCTCTGCCTGGGGTGTTGTGAATTTCATAACTGTTTCTGGGAAAGGCTTTTCCCAGGACAGCAGTGCTGGGGATAATCAATCAGACCTGTGCTGAGCATAAAGTGTAGCTGGAAATGCTGCATAGTTAAGTTTTTGCTGCTGTGTAGCTGTCATCGTCCTCTTTTGTGGCAGCCCTGCACCAGAAAACTTGGGGCAGTGGTAGCTCAGGAGGTCTGTTGCACAGCTGGGAGTTTAAGATAGGTGCTTAAATTACTACAGCAAGATAGAATTATAAATGCAACAAACGATCCCCCTTTTTTCCTAGTAATTGATACAGCCCTTCCCCAGCACCCTGCTAGACTTGCAGTGCGGACTTATTCTGGGCCTTTTCTTGTAGTTCCAGTGCTGTGCAAGTCCAGCTCTATTGAGGTGAGCATCCCAAAGGACCTGGTTGGAGGCCTGGACCTTTCCCTCATCAACAATTCCTGCAAAGGGGTATCCAATGGCACTCACGTCAACATCCATTTCTCCTTGAAGTCCTGCGGCACCGTTGTGGATGTATGTACAACCATTGCTGTCCTGCCTCTTGGGATCTCTCAGACCTGGGGACTTGTTTCATGGCTTCTGGGGAAAGAAGTTGCATCAGCATGGGGGTGCAGACTCACCTACTGCTCCACAGAGGTGGCTTCACCGTCAGTCTGTGTGGAAAAGGCCAGTGGTGCCGTTCTTGAGCCTCCTGCTGAGGCAGTATCTGGTCCCAGAGCATGTTTTGGAGCTTGCACTGGCAGCTGGTCAGGAACCAGAGAGTGCCTTTCACCAGGTGGGTGGCAACTTGGAAGTCAGCTCCCCTGCTTGCTGCAGGAGTGCAGTGCATCCAGGTTGGCAGCAAACTGACAGAGGCCCTTGGGTAGTAAGTGAAGATGAATATTGCTCTAGTGGATAAATTCATAAGCTCTATTCGCAGTGGCTCTTTTATGTCTGAGTTTCCTGCACGAGATAAATTCAGCTGCTGATCCGACCTCAGAGAGGCCTTTCTCAGTGACCTCCCCTTTCCTTTTAACCCCCTTTTTTGCTGCAGGTGATAAATGATAAAATCATTGCCACCAATCTGGTGACTGGCTTGCCGAAGCAGACTCCAGGGAGCAACGGGGACATCATCGTCCGCACCAGCAAGCTGCTGATCCCGGTGACCTGTGAGTTCCCGCGCCGGTACACCATCTCCGAAGGTTACGTGCCCAACCTAAAGAACTCGCCCTTGGAAATAATGAGTCGCAACCAGGGCATCTTCCCCTTCACTCTTGAGATCTTCAAAGATAAAGACTTTGATGAACCCTACAGGGGTGCCCTTCCCACCCTCAAGCTTCGGGACTCTCTGTACTTTGGGATTGAACCCTTGGTGCATGTCAATGGACTGGAGACGTTGGTAGAGAGCTGCTTTGCCACTCCCACCTCCAAAATCGACGAGATCCTCAAGTACTACCTGATTCAAGACGGGTGAGTTCACTGTTCCCTTCCTTGCTGGCTCTTGGATGGAAAGTGGCAGTGGGCTAAGCCACACTGCCTGTGTGACCCGGGAAGTGCTGTCACTTCTGCTGTGTTCCTCGTAATCACCAGCAGCCAGCACCCATCCTGTCATGCTGGGAGAAAGAGTCGGGGGCAGTGAAAGAGGGTGCTGCAAGAGCAGCCTTTATGGGGCATCCTTTTCTGTAATTAGACCTGTGGATAATTGACTTGGCTCCCATAAAAGGGAGATCCTTGTTGACGCCCTCTCTGCCAGCCTGCAGTTCCTGGTCGATCAGCAGCGCCCCAGTGGCTGTGTGCCACTGCCATGCAGCTGTCCAGGAACCGGAGGAAGTTTCTGAATTTTTTCCTATAATGTGTGCCAGCAGACTCCGTGGCTGGTGCTGGCTGGAGCTCCAAGAGCTCCCCGTGCTCTGCTCTCTCCCTGATGCCTGTTATCAGTGCAGCGATCCCTAGGGAGGACCCTACGCCCGCTGGGGTTGGTCTGGGGGCAGTGGTCTTTCCAGGAGGTGCTAGTGAAAAGCTCAGAGAGGATCTGGTCACGTCAGAGGCTGGGGGCTGCTCTGGCTGCTAAGGTTATGCCTGTTTTCAGGGGCTCGTTGGGGTGGCAGTGCTGTGATGCCACGTCGCTTGTGGCGTGTGTGCCCCCAGCAGTGCCTGGCAGCCCCACCAGACAGCGAGTCTGCTCTCCTCTGGGCAGGAAAGTCCTGCCAAAGGCATACTCGAGTCTCAGAGCCACCGGTTAAGGGCCTGGGCTCGTGTGAGCCCTGTGTTCTGCCAGCCAAACTGTCTAATAAGGACAACAATTGCTTCCTCGGCTGCCAGGCCGAATCGCCCACTGTCGCAGCTGGTGGTGACAGGTCCTGTGCGACTGTCTGGTAGCAAAAGGGAGTACGACACACAGACACTGCTTTCATTTCTCTCTCGCCAGGGTTGCAGCATTACTTGCTCTCCCCCCAGCCGAGGCTGCGATCTGTCAGTACGTGACATTTCGGGGGTTTGTGAGCAGATTTGTAACAGGAGAGTTGATTTATTGACTCCCTGGCTGTGCCTGTGGACCCTGGCAAACTCAAGGCTCCAAACATTCCTTCCGTCCCCACCACGAGTAAAAATGATGGCCCTTCAAAACAGCGGCCAAAACCTGAGCTGAATAGAGATGAGAGGAGGCAGAAAATGCCTTCTCTTTTATTTACCGCAGCACTGCTTTGAGGAATTACACAGCAAGCAGCCGGGACCTTTCTGGTAAAGAAAGGTTTTCCCTCCCGGTGGGGAAGGCAGCAGCAGCCCCTTTGGTGCTGTTATCCTGCAGAGGGCATTAAAACTTCACGGCAGGGAAAGCTGGGCTGGAGGAGGCTGGCTGGAGCTCCCGTCCAGCCTGCTCAGCTCCGCGGCCATTGCCACATGCCCGGTGCCCCGTTTGGCCCAAGGGCTAAGAATGTGCTGCCGGGCTAACCGGAGCTCTTTGGCTCTCGCTGTGCTCACAGCAATTAAAAAGTCAAATGAGCTACAAGCTGGGGCTGTGCTACAAGCAGCACTGCAGTAACCCTGGTGCCTTCTGTCGAGCCAGCCCCAGAAGCCCAAGGCAATAAAGACGAGATTTTTAAGTCAGTTTGATTGCGTAGGATCAGACCCACAGGAGTTAACTGCAGCTGAGACTTCCAGAGGGACACGCTGTTTAAATTGGAGGGGCTAGCCCAGCCAGCCCCCAGGCAGCCCTCTGGCTTCTGCCCTTGCCCTTTCTCTTTCTCAAAAATAAATAAAAGGCACTGACCAGTGGCACGGGCGATAAGCACTGCAGCTCCCCAGGGCATCTGGAGCGAGGTCGTGTCACCGAGGGCAGTCCCGTGTGAGCTGACGTGGGTGGAGGCCGTGGTTTATCTGCACAGCGTGGTTAAGGGGGCTCTGTGGCAGCGCTCATCCTGCTGTGCTGCCCCACGTTTGCAGCCTGGGGGCTTAGCGTGGTCCCCAAGCCCTCCTCTCTGCCCTGCAGCCCCCCAGTAGTGGGGTCAGAGCAGTGCATTTGTGGCAACCTGTGGGAAGACAGACTCAGGAGCGTGGCAGGGGCTCTGTGCATCCATCCCTGGCTCCTCCGTGTTCGTTTTTCCCTCTCCCTACCCCAGACCAGTAGGTTTCTTGCAGCCAGTGTGGAGAATCTGCAGAGAAACTGGGATTTGGGGGTCGGTCTGAGACAGCATCCAGGAGTCATCACAGTTTATGTACTCACAAACAAGAATGGGCCTGTGAGGTGACTGTCATTCTCCACAATCCTTTAGGAATGCTACTTTCAAAGCAATTTTCTCCTAAACAACATCTAACACTTGGCCTCAAGCTGGAGAATCCATGTCACCTCTTCTAGATGCACAATGATAATTTATTAGCTCCCTGCGGATGCCTGTGTTTGCGTCCCAGACAAGTTTGCCTCCCTAGGCTCAGCCCAACGCTTAGTGCCCCCTGACCATGCCCTGCTGCACACGTAGCAGAGGGGCACTTCTGGAGGAATTGCAGCAGGCTGACCCACAGCACCCAGTCAGTCGAACAGCACGGAGATTTCCAAGCACAGATTGTAGAGAAAGCAGAGGTACGTGTAGGTGCAGGGTTTGCTGCACTTTGCTAATTGAGCCTGTCAGATGTCAGCATTTCTGACGATGCCTTACGTATTTCTGGGGTGGAGATGGAAGCTGAGAGCTGCTTCAACAGACAGACTTGGAGCTGCCCCGCTGTTACCTCTTGTCCTTTCCACCACCACACTTTCATGTATCTGTGTCTGTATGTCCGGCGAGGCCCACATTTCTGGGGTTACCTTTCTAGAAGGGCCAAGCTGTGCTGTGGTGCAGCGTAACAGCAGCATCCGTGCCCCTCAGAGCACCTCGGGGATTGTGTCAGGCAGCAGTGACTATCGAGTCACCATAACCTTTTGCCTTTCTGCTTCTCTGTCAAACTCCATCTAGGCTTTGGTAGTTTATAAGTAGACCGGACCAGAAATGTGGCCTTCTATAGAAGCAGTTTATTTTCTTGCAGTTCTGTGTCCCTTTAGAAGCCAAAGTTAAGATTTTTAGCTGTAACTGGAGCTGACCAACCAAGCCCAACGGGAAGAAAATGTACGTGGTGTAAAGCAAAGTAGATCTGGTGTTTTGTGTTTGTCTTCTGTGAGATCTCAGTAAAGTGGGTAAAGGCTTCTTCAAGCATAAATTACGGGCATGTATGTGTGTATCCAGAAGGTACCCAGTGCAGCGTGTATGTATCACAGCTCTGCTGATCACCGCAGACTGTTGCAATAGTGAATTGAGAGGAGGGTGAAATGAGGACAAATTTGACTGCAGCTCTCTGGCAGTCCCTCTGCCGAGGGGACTGGACCACGTCCTGCCAGCTCTCTGCTGCTGAGCTGTTCTTTGTCTGGAGATGCTATTATCATCGCTGTTGTTTTCCCCATCATTCCAGCATTTTCCTCCTGTGGCCAAAGAGGAAGTAACATGGATGGTAGCTTAGCTCAAGAGCCAAGCCCTCCTTTCCTTTCTCTGGTTTAATAGGCTGGGATGTTTTTTGGGCTCTCTTTTCCATTTCTGGGAAACCCATTAAATCCTTTCTCTCTGCTTTCCTCAGCTGCGTTTCTGATGATTCGGTGAAACAGTACACGTCAAAAGACCATCTCGCCAAGCATTTCCAGGTTCCCGTGTTTAAGTTTGTGGGCAAAGACAACAAGGTAAGCTCAAAACCCACCTCTCAGACATTGCATCAGCCCTGATCTGACCAAGGAGTCTCAGCACAGAATTGGCTGCGTTAGAGTACCAAGAGGAGGGATGCCTGGCTCAAGGCACATACTGCTGTGCCTATTCCAGCTGCTGTTTCTTTCAGGAGCTTGACACAGGTGCTTTAAAAGAGAGTGTTAAAAACAAGTAAATTTTAAATAAATACGAAGGGACAGCCATCGAACATAAATGGTATAGCAAGCTAAAATTGTTAGTTTCCAGTGTAGTCTTTGGGGTCCCTGGTATACTGGGAGAGAAAAGTGTTTCTGTTTCCAGTCACCAAAGAGCAACCCAGGCAGTTAGCCACCTTGCACAGTGTCCTGTCTTTAAAACAAAGCAATTTATTGTTTTGAATCTCTTCAACTTTATACTTTCTCGGGCTGTTTGAGCAGATGCCCTTCAGGTTTTCAGATACGAGGTTTCCAGGTACTGTTTAAGTCAGTGTGAAACCAGGCTGCCCAGGCTGGTGGCAGTTTGGGGCAGAAGCTCTGTGTTAGCAGGACAGCAGAAGGATAATGCCATCGTCCTAATGCAAATAGCTTTCCTTTCCTGTGCTGGAAGAAATGAGGTCTTTCTGTCACTGTTGTTATGCTCAACCAATGCTGTTTGCTCCAAAAGGCATAAAGTTTCCTCTCCAGCCCCTGCAGAGCCTAAAAAGGATGAGATCTTCCAAAATTCACTAATTTTACTTGGCTGTCTGGTTGACACTGCTGCCTCCGTGTGCATTCTCCCATGCAATGGATTTTGCTTCAGACCTCACCACTGACCAACACTCAGAACATTTGCTTTCCTAGTCACGGCTTGCTTTCTGTCCTTGTCCTTTAGAGGGCAGGGAGCAGCAATCTTGTCACTGACTGCCTTGACTGTGCTAAAAGACAGAGCAGCTGTCTCCCTGCCCTTCGTGCTCTCCTCCCCTCTGCTGCCAGTTTTAACCCTTCATCAAGCTGCATTTTCCTCCCTTGCCCATCAGTCTCTTGCCTTTTTGTCCCCCAGCTCTTGTCAAATTCCCTTGCACGTTTCTATCATCCATCTACTTGTGAAGCTTCATGCGTTCTTGGCCTTCTTCCTGCCACGCAGCTCCTACCAGTCCACGTGAGCTCTTCCAAGCTTATTCCTGGCGTTTTCATCCCTTCATTTCACGCCTTCACGTTCCCTGTCTAGCCCTTGGCTAAGAGGCTGAATGGGTGCTCTGCACAGATCTCAGCTGGGTGCTCTGGAAAACGTGCCCTCTCCGAGGCACGCAGGAGAACTGATAGCGCAGATGGCGGTGGTGGATAAGGAGCTCGCTGGTGTGGAAGCGAAGGGGCTGTTCCCTGTAACTCACGCCTGCTGTCTCTCCAGGAGGTGTTCCTGCACTGCCGCATCCTCGTGTGCGGGGCGCTGGACGAGAGCTCCCGCTGCGCCCAGGGCTGCCGGCGGCGGGTGCGCAGGGCGGCTGGGAGAGAGGAGGAGGAGGGAGAGGAGGAGGCCAGTCACGTGGCAAAGCACGTCCTGACGGGCGGCCCCATCAGAATTGACTTTGAAGACTAACAGCCGTCCCTTGGAACAGCACCTCCGCCCGAGACCAACCTTTCTTATCCATGCCTTCTTTCATGGTGGTCTGAGAAAGGAGAGGGATTTGGCACAGCCCCACTCGTACCTCAGGACTTGTTTCCCTAGCTGCGTGATGATGATTGGTGAAGTAGGCTCGGCACACAGCCTTCTGCAGAACGGTTTGGTTTTACCTCTGTTTCTCTTGGTTGAAGGGACGCTGTTGCTTTTCAGGCTTGAAGCATTACCCAACTTTGTCTTTCCCTACGTCCACCCACAGGCTCCACAGGACTGTCTGTCCTGGACTAAACACATTACTCAAGCCTTTCTCTCTTCAGATGATAAAAACAGCATTGCAGCTGAACGTGTTTGCTCTGCAGTTCTGTGAGTGATGCTGAAGCTTTTGGGTGTGCTGTGATCTTGGATGACCATTAATAAAAATATGTATAAAAATATATATCCCGTAACGTGCAACTTGGAGCTATGAAGCAGTTGTCATTACAGGCAGCTAAAGCTCAGGTCTATCACAGGCACATCTTAATGTTATTTTTAAATAGAAAAAGGTATTTAATAACTTTTTTTATTGTCTTTTGATAATTGCATGCAGTTTAACAGTGTTTCTCGTTGTATTTAGCATCTCATTATTTTTCTCTCTCTTCTCCCCCCCACATCCCCAAGCAACACAGTGCCTTTTGTAAGTGCTGTAGCACCTTGATTGTAAGAAAAAGATCATTAAAAATCTATAAACACCTGCCCCCAAGCATGCTGCTACTGAGTCTGTGTTTGAAAGCTGTAATGGATTACCCTGGAAGTAATCCACACCCTCTTAAGGCTGTGGCTCTGACAAAAGGATTTGAGGATGGCACATTACAAACAACTGCTGTAAATGTGGATGGTTTTTGGGACAGGGCTGTCCCCAGTGAGCCAGGTGGCAGGAGATGTTGCAGTATCATCTGAGTGACTGCGCGTGCACAGCCTCCTGGTGGGGGAGAACTGGCTAGAGACACAATTACGGTGACAGGGCAAAATGATGCTTGTCAGCAGGAATCCCTTTGGGCCACCAAACTTCTTCAAAAGAAAATAAAATGGATGATCAGCTCGGGGTCCTGCGGGTATCACGCCGGAGCAGGAACGCTGTGTGGTGAAGGATGAGGAACGCGGGATGGAAGGCAGGAGGCACAGCGAGGAATGAGGCAAGAGAGGCAGGGCTGGAGAGTAGAGGTGGAAGGACCTTTCTCCAGCACTGGCTATGGCAGTGCAGTGGAGTTGTAGGGTTTTCTGCAGGAAGTTTCATGGTGTGTGTGGGTTCAGAGGTGTGCTGGAAGTCCCCCCTCATCCGCATTGCCAATTTGCTGCTTCAGTTGGAAGCAGCCAGATTGCTGTCAAAGCCAAAATGTATTGCTGCTCGCAAATGGATGGGGAGTCTGTGTGAAGGGACCATTTAAAAGGGAGGCACAAATCACCTCAGCAATATTCCATTTCGCAGATTTATTTCTGCTGGTGACTGACATTTCCGTGACAAATGGGCATTTGATGGGCTGGGAGTTTCGTGGCTTTTCTAAATGGCTCCATGGCTGCTTTTCTGATTTGAGAATGTGTGTGTGTGCACGTGTGGTAGAATAAATGAAAAATTTCCCATGAAAATAAGTGTAAGCAGAAAGGCGTTTTTCATGTGTTATCTAACCATATGTGAAAGAAAAAGAAATAAAAAAGGCCCTTCTCGTGTTGCCATGCCCTCCTGGTTCTGCTGATTCGCTTCTGCACTAGGACCACACGGGCAATTTCCTGCTGTCACTTCTTTGTTCAGACAGCCCCTGCTGAATGTACTTGTTTTGCTAAAACAAGAGCTGGGAAATGAAATCAATTAGTTGGTGCCTTCTGGAGAGGCAACTGGTGTTTTTTGTTAGTGTGAGAGGGACGTGGGGAGTGGAAGATTTGTTTCCTTGCTTGTTTTAGTTATTGTGCACGTTATCTGGTTCTTTCTGACAAATCCATACAAAGCAGCCTCGCTGCTCCACAGCTTTTTCTCTAAATTATGTGGAGGAGTAACGAGGGAGAAGCACTGGTCTGTGTGGCCGTGTGAACAGAGTGGCCTGGGAAGGTGCTCAGTTTGTGCTGCGAGCAGGACAGTAGCTCTGCTCTCTACCACTGCCCTGTGGCCATTTCTCCTCTGACATGGAGGGGAAGGCTCCTGGACAGAGAACAAAACCATTTTCCAGTCTTTTCTCTCTCCCCAGTTTACCTTTTGCTTCCATCTGTCTTTGTCAGCTTTACAACCTGACGTGAAATCAAAGGCCAAACTCATCCAAGAGCCAAGGGATTTGCTTTTCTCTTTAATTTTATCAGCCACGCCACGGAGTGGAAACAAAAGGCAGTGCACAAGCAGGCACTGAGTGTGCGAGACGCCCGGCAGCCGTGCTCCTGAAGGTCCAGCCAACTGCCAGCCATGGTTCAAATCCGAGCCACATCGGTGCTGCCTGACACGTGTGGCTGGGATTCGGCTGGCACCGCCTCGTCCTGTCATAGGATGCAAAGTGATAGTCAGACGGTAGGTGTCCAGGAGGAGACACCAGGTACCTGCCTTCCTAGTCGTGCCTTCGTGTCCTCGGTGGAAACGTAGAGTTCAACTTTGAGGCAGCACCCCTGGGAGAGGGCACGCTGACCGAGCGGGCTGAACGTCAGCAAGAGTTGCAAATGATCCTGCCAAAACGCAGAGTCAACAGGAAGTCAGCGGGTGAGCACGGTATCTTTGTCCTGTTCAGAGCAGGGTGGAGATGAAGATGACCCAAGCTGGACCTCAGCTGGACACCGCTGAGGAGCATGAGCAGCAAGCAGGGGAAGCGGTTACTAGCTCAGCTGCAGAAGTTTTACCGTAGTTTACGCACCATTTCTGTCCTATGCAGGATTATCTGGTGGTTTTCGTGAGTCACTGCCATTACTTGAAGTTTTAAGTTTCCTTGTAGAGCTGCTTGGGGGATTTTTCAGATCGCCACAGCCTAACTTTGTTGTGAAACGTGCTGCTTGTAGCTGCCCCGCATGCAGCAGCCTGTAGTGTTTTGAATGAACGGCAGTCTGGAAGCACAAAGATGTTATGATTTATATCAGCTGTGGCTCCAAAGTGTCCGTGTGTGGACAGAGAGATTTCATTCGGAACCCTCCAGTATCTTCAGTGTATGTCATTATCCATCACCGGTTGCTTGGCCTGGCTTTAATCTGGTAGCAGGCTATTGGGATTAGACAAGATAGGTTTTTAAAACTGTGTCATTTAATCATAAGTGTGTGCTCCCATATAGAACCGACAACAGGAGCAATTTCACCAACAGAATGCAAAGCTTGGGAAGTGTCTGGAATCAGGAATGTTTCCTTCCTGTCCCTTGAAAAAAAAATGTATTTCTTAGACAGATAATCAGTGTCCAGTCCCGTGCTCTGATGGCCACGCTGCAATGAAGCTTGGCAGCACAGTCCTCACTCTCCAGTGGCATTAGCACAGCTAGGAAAGGAGCCCATTACACCTGGTGAGTGTAAATTCAGGCCCTCCTTAATGAAGACATCCCGGTGCACCTCCTGCAGTCACTTGTGGTTCCCTATTTCCATACCGTTGGGTCTTGTTGCAGTCCCTATTAGCAGTAAAGCAAAGATGACTGGCAAGAACAGGAATACAGGGCTGAAATAATTTATAGCGCCGTGCATCCATTTAAATGCAGACTAGAAGAAAGGTAACTAAAACAGACTCTTTCCATCCTTGTTAAATTACCCTTCTGTATCCTTAACTTTTCTGTGACAGATGGAAGAACAGAACCATAAATATGTTTGCAGAAGACACTGCAGTATTTATGTGGCACGGCACGCACACCCGATAGCGACTTCCTTTCAACAAGAAACACAGATGAAAGCTGTCTGCAAATGTTGCGTGTAGATGAAATTCCATAGACCGCTTTAAATTCTAATTTTACACGCAATAAAAGCTCCCGATAGCAGATGGAAGTATTAACCACGTTTTAAAAAGGGTGCTGTCTGAAACTGCCGATCGCTCTTCAGCTGGCAGCGTCTCTGCCCCACCGAGGTAGCAATAAGCCCTGCCATCTGACAGATAAGCCTCCAGGATTTGGAAAAGCTCATCCAAGACAACTGTGAGCCTCCTGTTGCCTTTGTGCAGAAGATGGAGGTGGATACCCAGCCATTTCGTGTGCAAAAGGGTTCTGAAGGGAATAGCTTTGTTAAATGATACAGGAAGAAAATAACTAAACAGCTGCAGTCTGGGTGACAAAAAGAAAAGCAGCTTCCTCTCTTGAGACGGGCAGAGTGCTGTAGGTGTGTAAGAGACACTGAGTGTTACTGCAAACAAAACGTGTCGGTGCCACAAACACAGCGAGTCCTTCTCGTTCTTACCAAGTCCTTGAATATTTTCAGTTGTTTTAGGATCTACCAAGTATTTAAATAAGTAGGGTTGTCAGGGCGTGTAACGATAGGATGGAGAAAGTCAGGGATGGACGTGAGCAATATACCGAGAGCAAATTACCCCCCTCCTTCAGTCACCAGAAGTGGGAAAATGTGAATAGTGTGGCCATGGACTGGGACTTCGGGGGGCTGCAGAAGCCTCGTGCCTCGCACTGCGATTTAGAAAGGTAAGGGGCAGGGGGTGCTAATACAATGCTAAGGCAAACAAGTGATCCCCTCGTTTACAACCATCGCTGCATCCTGCTTGCCCTTCCTCATCAGTCTGTGGAGAAAATTGGCATCAGGCCGTTCAGGCTGATGGACTTGGAAAGGGCCAGGGCTGTTGAGCTGCGGCTGCGCTGGACAGCAGGCATCGCTGCCCCGTTTCCACAGGCTGCCTCCTCCCTGGCAGCCTCTGCCCAAAAGCTGTAGCCAACACGTGTTGCTCGGCCCAGGTCCCCCCGGCCCGAGGGTTGATAGAAGGCGCTGTGCAGAGAGGGGACGCTTGGCAGCAGGCTGCTGGAGGCCAGGGGATCTGCTCTTCCTCACAGTTCATCTCGTTCTTCCTCACTGCAAATGCAGGCGCTCCTTTGGCTGTTCATGAAGGGCCGGCAGCCCAGGGTCCAGACGGCGTTGAACACTGTGTCTGCGACGGATTCACAAGCTGTGGAGAAAGAAAAGATCAGGCATGTGAGTAACAGGCACCCCGGGATGTCTGAGGGCTGGCTGGAGTACTTCCAGTTGGAAACGTGGGCATGTTCTCTCTGGGTAATGTGTTTTTATAAATCCAGAAGGTGCCTTCTGCTGACCTGGGGCTTCTCTACCTGGGGTGGCACTGACTTCCCTCCCTGCCAGGCTCCTTTCCTGCCTCTCTCAGCCTTTTCTGGCTGGCGGAGCATTTGCAGCCCTACAAACAGCACTGTGTACCAAACAGATTTCCCAGAAGACCTCCACAGCACGGTCTTTCCCAGCTCCCTCTCCTCACAGCTGTTCATAGCCACTACTGACCAATCTGTTCTGCTTTTATTTCAGAGTTACAACGCCAGCATGAAGCACCCTGCTGTGGTTGCCCCAGCATGCCTGACTGCTAGCCCCTTCCCTTCCCCCAGCACAGCCCTGAAGCTGCGTGTCGCTACTTCGGGAGACTGCTCGTTTGGCAGCTGCTACAAAGCTTCTGGTGAGTCAGCGGGGAAATCGAGTTTGGGGTTTACTGATGGCTGGAAGTGGGCTAGGGATGTCTGCATCCACACAGAGGGAGAGTGACTGCTCTGCCCCTGCCTGCTTGCTTTGGCTTCTGGTGGAAAGGACCCCATAAGAGTGGGGTGGCAGTGGAGGAGACTCGCAGAAGGCAAGAGGAGGTAGAGCAATGGGAGGTGAGGACAGCTCAGAGGTTCTCACTAACAGCCCTTGTGCCTCCTCTGGCCACCAGGATGTGTGCTGGAGGCATCTGCTCCTGCTTGGCTGCCCGTAAAGGTGGCTTGGGTCAGCCAGGGCCTGAGCTCTGCTCCCCCTTAACTCCCCGGGGCCTCCTGTTGGCTCCACCGCTGCAGGCTGGAAGGGAAGAGGGCTGACCTGAAAAACTGGCAGAGGAAAACAAAGAGATAGGAAGAGGTTGGCTGCAAGAGGACCCCTAGATAAGAGTGACCATGAAAATTTGGCAGTGCTTGGCCTGTAGCACTTATGTCTCAGTCCACAACTCTTCCTCTTGCTGGCCTGCACGCTCTCTAAACATTTATCTGTGACCAGGTACAAAGCCACCCACGCTAGTACCGGGGTCACGCAGACTTCAGTGGTTGTCCTAGTCAGACTGCACCTCTGGAAAACAAATGCAGCTCAGCTTCACCTAACGACAGACCTTATGAGCCAAGAGGGGCTGTTCTCAAGGGCTCTGCCTGATTTTAAGCCCAAATTTCCTCTCCCTGCCACCGCCTGGGGGAAGCCTACCTTCCACCTTGGAGACGAACCCCAGGCTGCGCTTGAGGTCGGAGCAGATGGAGTGGAGGCACCAGCGGAACTTGGCATCGCAGCGGTACTTGTTGGCCCCGCAGGTGTCGTAACAAACGTCCAGCTGGTTGCAGCACTTGGTCATGGCGGGGATGCCCAAATCTAGCTGGGGAAGGAAGGGAGAGGAGCGTCCCTTGGACTCAAACAGCTGCAACTGGGAGAGATTTTACAGGGCCCCGCTGGCTCCTTCACCCAAACCAGAGGTGTGGCAAAGCCCCCTTTCCTCCTTTTCCCACAACCTGCTCCTCGGCCTAATAAATCTGCTGTAAGTGTTATTAATGCCTCATTTCCTACAGATACACTCGTGAGACCAAGGATAAATACAGCATGGATCGGGGAGGTTCTGCTCCCTTGGAGGTAAGCCGCAAGCTTAGCTAATAACCATGGGGGCGATGGAGCAGGGCCTGACTCCTGGAGAGGCTGGACTCATTAGCTCGTTACGAATTCTTCCCCTCGTTGGCCTTCCTCATGCAATATTTAGGGGATGTGTTTTTTTCTCCATTGCGCTCGGTGCTCACGACTGCCCACAGAAGGAGGCGGTGCCACAGAAATGCCCACAAGGTTTGCAATGAAATGTGGTTTAGGGAACTAATCTAACAAGAAAAATGGGCTGTAAAGGGAGGTGTTTTCAGGGCAGGAGTCAGCCTAATTGATGCAGGCTTCATGGGCAGCAGTAATGCAGCTGCTGAATAGTAATTTCTCCTCTTAGAGCCTTTCGGGAGAGCTTTTTCCTGGTGATTCCAATATGATTTCATTAATTGCCTTTAAAACAGCGAGAGGGTGCAGCATTGAAGCCCGCAGGTTTATTTCAGTACTCAGTAGAGGCAAAAAGCACGGGAGGGAGCGGTGTGGGTAATGCATCCAGATATTGCTGTTTGTGCATTATGCTAATGCATAATTAGCATAATCACTGAGCTGCCCAGCATCAAATGTGTCTCACAAGGGCACAGGGTTGATAAAAACACATTTCCCCACACCGATGCTCTGCTTGGACATCCCTTTTCTTCTTCTAGCACTCTGCTCAGGAAACTTGTGGTGCCTACGGAGACAGCCAGAGCAACAGGCCAGTCCATCGTGGGCCGAGCTCCTGTCTGCGTGATCCCTGTTCTGCTGCCACCAGCCCCTGAGGTCTTGCTGCTCCCCCGAGTGACAGTGAGCTCGGCTGTCAGCAGCCAGCCGTGTCTTTTGGAAGGCAGCGTGTCCCCTAGCACAGCACAAGCGACACTCCCTCCCTTGGGCAGAGCTCTGCCCTCAGCCGTGAGGAGCAGCCATCGCACAGCCAGCATCCAGCACAGCCGAGCATTTTCCCTCCCCCGAATTATCAGCTGCTTACTGTGATTAGAGAATTGCATTATTTCGGAGCGGTGGGTGTGGCAGTACATACACTTTGGGGTACCTTGAGCCCCAGAAAATAGGAGCTGCAGCCGTTGGGTTCCTGGGGCTTGTAGTGAGGTCGCGGCATTGGAGCCTTCCCTGAGGAAGAAAGGAAAAGCGTTAGGAAAGCTGATCTTCCCGAGAGTTGTACCCAAAGGCAGCTCCCCTCTGCTCTGCATCCCCAGACGTTTCGTTCTTCTCCAGGAGGCGCAAAAACTGAAGGATGGGTGCCACTGACACACTGCAGTTTCATCCCTTTATATCTGCCCTCCCTTAGCATGCTTTTAATAGGCACAGAGAAGCAAGAAGTTCCTCCCTGAATAATTATTTACTCGATGCTGAAAGAGTGGAGAGAGGGACTGTGACAGGACTGCCCTGTTTCCAGTGCAAACCAGCCCTCGTGGAGTTGGGTTTCTCTCTGCGGTCCCTTGGTGCGTGTTCAGTGCTTGTTGTGTTTCTGCCCCAGCAAGGGAGATCTCAAATGCAGGATGCGGTGTTAGAACAAGGCTTTGAACCCTGCTTTGGGAAACCTTTGTAAGCTGTGTGAATGCTCCAACTAAAGCATGTTTGAGACTTCTGAAAGTCCATCACCTGTGTCGTGAAGTTCCAGCTTCCTTGATCCCTGTTAGAGAGTGTGTATAGATATATTGTAGATGTAATTTAGCCTTTCAGGATTGGATCCTTTTAAGCTCCATTTTCTCTTTTTCTTCTTGTCAGCACCGATAGCCATGTAAGACACTTTTCCCCTTTTTTTCTGACAAGGTACCTACATTACCAGTGGTTAATAGAGCCATAAATCTACTAAATCTAGTATGGTTTTGGGAAGACCTCACAGCAAAATGCCTCAAAAGGTCACATGCAGGAACGTTCCCAGCACCTTCTAAATCACAAATCAGTAGAGCAGTTTTGTTTAATCAACAGGCTAGCAACAAATAAGAGAGCAAAATACCATCCAGCTGTGAGATGCCAACAGGCAGTTGTCTCCAACCCTACCGAAGAGCAGTACGCTTCAAGGATCCAGCTGTCTGCAAGCCAAGACAAAGCTCTCCAGCTGACATTCCCAGCAGGTAGTGGCTTTTTGTGGGGGAAGGTATTTCTCAGGACGGCAGCTACTCTTGTTTCCACCCTTTTGTCCTTTTGAATAGGTTCTGCTCCAGACACACTTTTCCAGTGCAGAAAGCATTGTTATTTTGAGCAGTGGGGCCGAGTTAAGGACAGACAGAGAGCACAGATCAGTTGGTTACAGCACACCCCCATTATAGGATTAGCTTTGCACCAAAACACAAGTCCATTGAGGTACACAGACACAAGGTAACATCTGAGTTCAGGACACGTTGCATATTGTGCTATTTTGGTGGCTATGCTACAGAGAGAAGGGATTGTGCCTATAATGGGCTGACTCTTACAGCCCACAGCTCCCAGGCAACACAGGGAGAGGAGGGCAGCAGCCAGGTCTGGCTACAGCCTGGTTCCCTTTCTGGAAAGAGCCAAGAATTGGGACTCAGAGTCAAATGTTCTTGAGCTGAAGAAGGAAGCTGTGGCAGGTTCAAAATCTAAGGTAGATTTTACAGGATGGGATCAATTTTTAATGACTTGCTTATACTATGGATGATAAATTGTGCTCCTGCAGCCAGTTATGGGGTAAGGTGGCAATTCGGAGTAGGAGTGAGGCTGCTTTGGTATGTGGGGGTAACTGTTCCTAGAGAAAACCTTCAACAAGCTGAAGTTCCAGCTATTAAAATGCTTTACAAAGGTGACCAGAAAAAATAAACAAGTCTTGGTGAGAATTGTGAAATCAGCAGAACTGCCCTCAAGATGAGCCTCTGTAGGAAAGCTGCCTCCTCCTCTGAAAAACAAAGTTTAATCATTTGCAAAGTGATCAGCTAGATCAAGCCCAAGACACCACAGTTAACTTCTCTCCCACATCTTGTTTGTAGCTGAGAGGAAAACAGAAACGAAGGCAAGGCACTAGCGATAGGGCTCCCCGTTCTACGTGAGCATTGACTCAGAGCCTGTTGTTATTTATTGCCTGCCCATCCCACAGGCAGGTCTGTGCCGGGGCAGGGGCTGAGTGGGTCACGCTGGCTGTTTTGCTGCCTGTGTTTCACCGGGCACCTCTCGTGGGCTGCCCGAGGGGTGATGCTGATGTATAGAAGCACGGCCCTGCTGAGAAAGCCCGTTCTCTGGGAGATGTATTTCAGGGCACTGCCTCATTGGCATTGCCTTAAAGGAGAGCTGAAGTCGAGTTTCGAATGGGAAGTGAGTTTCCCTGATGCATTTTAATATTCCCAAGCTGTTGTGGCTGTGCCAAGAGGCTGGAAAACAGCCCGCTGGCTAGAGGAGATTTGTGGCCCATGCAGGAGGTCTGAGACACTGCAGTACTGGGGTAGGGTGGAGGGAAGAGATCTCCAGGTGAACAGATGCTCCTGAGGTCCCTTGCTGTGGTGGGAGGACCAGGTTGTTTCTCTGCTCTGGGCAGACACTGTCCTTCCTCACCACGGCCTGAGTGCTGTGGCAGAGGGCCTTGGAAGCTGTGCCTCACTTGAGGCTGTTGTTCCCCCTGAGATGCCCAGAGAGATTTTATAAAGAGGAGGAGGCATTTTCCTGCAAATACTTGGGTAACCATAACGTTCTGAGTTAAGGGAGCAATCCATCACCTTGTTTGTTCTCAGACCTCACCAGGTGCCGATAAATCGGGAGGAGAGGCTGGCAGCCAGACCAGCCAAGTGTTCGTGCTCAGCTGAAGATGGATGTGGCAATTACAGGTGAGTCCTGACCTTTATCGTGGCAAAATAAGCTATTATCAGTATCTCTGAAGTAGGAGAGTGGAATGCACCAGTTTTGTTTCTTGGCTGGGATAAAAGCCATCAGGCCCTGCTTCAGCAGCAAGACAATAATGATGGTTGGCATTCGTTCTGGGCACGGGCATCTGGTCTCATTGGTTGGGAATTGTCCCTGCATCCCCTCTGCTTGCAGCTTGCAGTGTCTGTGCTAGCCACCAGCACAGACAAATGGTCCTGGGAGGGTGCAGCGAGGCCCTGGGAGGCACGCAGGTAGCATTTTAAGTTTCCTCCTTCAGCCAGTGATTAATGAGCTGTTCAGCAGAGGACAAGAACAGGGCTAAGAAGTGTGTGTTTGTTTTCCTTTCTAGGTGAAGATTTCTCTGATAAGAAGCAGGATGCTCCTGGGGAGCAGGGAGGTGTTTGCACTGCTCTGTGGAGGTGCACAGAGAGCACAGGACCAGGGCAGGGAGACACCTGGCCTGAGAGCAGTGACTTCTCCAGGACTTGACAGTGGTGAGTCAAAATGAGCTTCCTTCCCAAAATGAGCTCTGAGTATCATCAGCCTTCCCTAATTTCGCCTCGGGCACTCTGTAGCATCTCTGTTTCTCCCGGTGCCCTCCCTGTGGGATGATCCAAACCCTTCCTTTTTGGTAAATCTCTCAAAGTCCAAGGTGAGCAGTGGCTGCCTCATTCCGCCTTGAGTACTAAAGGTTCCTCCGTGGTGACAGTGGGGCTCGTTTACCTTCCTGTTATCTCCCCTCCTCCAACCCCTGCGATTAGCCAACTCACGGCTGCTGAATAACCACGCTCCGAAGGTTGCCGAGATTACGGCCGCTGCCGACACCAACAGCCCCTTCGGAGCCAGGCCTGCACCAGCAGCTCGTCCTCCCCGCCAGGGCCTCTAACTGGGCGGCCGGGTCACCCCCACAGCCCGGCTGTAAGACCCGCGTCCTCTCCTCTTGTCCCATTGCACCCAGCACAGACCAGTTGCTGCACAGGGGGAAGGCTGAGGGCTGGGTTTCTGCTGCTGGCACCAGCAGAGCAGTCGTGGTCTCTGCGGTGGCCTTCCCCTGCCACCCAGGGTTGGGTCATGGGGGGCCTCGGGAAGGAGAGCTGCTGTGAGTTCCCACACAGGAGGGAAGGAGGGAGGACAGGGCAGGGAGAGGGCAGCCAGGAAGAGCTGGCTGGGGATGTAGGAGCCAGCAGCACCGCTCTGAGGGCCTCAGCACCAGATTAGGAAAGTAACAGAGCAGGTAACACCAGGACAGTGCTAAATGCCTTGCCAAGCCATTTTACTGGCAGCCCTCCTACCATCCCCTAATGGGCAGTGCCTGTCGTAGCAAAGCAGTCAGCAGCCCCACGTCCCCAGCACGGACGCCCTTCACTTACCATACCGACATCTGTACTGACAAACGCCATTTTTCCCCCCAAGCAGTTCCAAGAAGGAGTCAAAGTAGCTGTTAACGGTTTCGAAGCTGTCCCGGATGGCCCCGATGCCCCACTCTGGAAAGTACGACTCCGTGGAGGAGCTTTGTTGGGCGGCGTTCTCCTGCGTCGTGTCCTCGGTGCCGTGCCCCAAGCCCAGGGTCAGGCACAGAACCGCTGCCTCGAAAAGCAGCCGCATCCTGCAGCCGGATCCAGACCCTGGAGCCTTCGTGCGGGCCGGGAGGAGTGGGGTGAGCTGTGCCGCGTCGGAGGCAGGTGAGCGCCCCTCTGCCCTGGACTTTAACCACTGCGGGGGGAGCCGGGATGAGGTCACGGCAATCAGGGTGCAAAGTGCGCCGTGGAGATTTGGAGCGGGTCCGGCTCGCGGAGAAACGCTGGGGGTTGCGTTTGCACAATGCCGCTGGAACCGGCTCGGCCCCTGCAGCACCGGGGCTCGGGCTGCTGCTGGATGGTCCTGGAACGGAGCCGCCAGGGGCTGCTAGCCCAGGGGGTGCGGCACAAGCACCCTGCCCAGCGGGCTGCCCTGCTCCCCGCAGAGAGTTTCTCTTCCTCCACAATTCCCCCTGCCCAGGCAGCGGATCAGAGCACCGTATCCTGCTGCGATGGGCCTCCTGGGGACTGGTGCAGCAGCTAGCAGTAATTCGGGTTTAGAAACTGCTGGGTTGAGGGCAACCCCTTGGTGTTTCCCTTCCCGTTATGGGATCAGTGATGCAGATACGTGTTTGCCTTTAGCAGGACTCCCAAAGGCTGAGTGAGGCAGCTGGTTATTGCAGCTGCTTTTATGTAGTGCTGCTGCTGCTGAGTTCAACTTGCAGCCCAGGTGCCTCGCAGCACAAAGGGCTGGCACCAAAACCCAAGGCAGGTAACGGGTTCAGGGGGTGGCAGCAGGCCCTGGCTTGTGGGGCCTGCATGGCCTGTGGGGGTTTCAAAAAGTTACTTATTAAAAGCAAACAGCCAAACAGACCTACAGCAAAAGACAACACAAACCACTGGTAAAGACGAGGGAAGAGAAACAGCACAGGAGGGTTCCAGCTTCACTCGGGAAGCTTTTCAGGTGTGTCCCAGCACAGCGCTGCCCCCACAAACAGCCGCTGCCAGCTGCCCCTTCGCTGTGGCCTCCGAGGGCAGCCCCAGCGGTTGTGTCTGCTGGAGCACAGGGCGCTGAGCAGAGCAAGGGGAGCACGGCTGCGGGTCTCTCCAGTACGTGGCACGTGTAAGTGTGAGTTCTGACATTCTGCTGTTTTGCAGGAGACTCAGCCCGGCAGCAGTGGCACTTCTGAAACGCCAGAGCCCCGCACGTTGCCCCCGTCCGGTTCTCCAGGTGTGGGATAAGGAGCAGGGACCGCAGCCCAGCCTCGGCTTCTCAGAGAGGTGAGCGGAGTGGGCGGGCTGGGCAGGCCCCTTCCGTGAAATAGCGTGGGGCTGGAGCCAGCTGCTGCCTCCTTGGTCTGTTCTGGTGCCCCCCTCACCTGCTCAGAGCCCCTCGGGGACCCTGAGGGCCCCGCATTGCTACCACGTGGTGTTCCCTGGGAGTGGTGCGGGCTGTTGGCTGTGCAGTGCCGCTGGAATTGCTGTCAGGAAGCCCCAGGCGAGGGAAGAGCAAGTTCCACAGCCCCACGCAGCGTCGCGCCCTGAGCGGAAGCCAGTTGTGTCCCCGCTGGCTCCATCGCTGCCCTGCGTGACGTGCTGGTTTGCAGCCTCAGTGCTCCCCACCCCAGGAGCAGGCTGGTAGAAATTAATGTTAAAAGAGCAAAATAGCTGTTCAGAAATAACTTGGAAACACTGAGCAGGGCCCCTGGTGCCATGCTTTTTAGCAGAGCCTTTCAGTTGCCCTGGTGGCAACTCCAGAACGTGGCTTTCTTTGTCACCCCTTACTCCCTGGTGGCTGAGCCTTGTGCCACCGAACATGGACAGGCAAGGGAAAAATGCTGGCAGGACTGCAGGGGGTGCAGAACACAGCGCCTGGTGCGTGAGCCGTGCGTGCTGTGCTGCACAGGACGCGCAGCCTGTGCCTCTGGGCAGAGAGCACAGAGCCAGGGCTGTTTGCAAAATCCATCAGGATTTGTTAGGAAAGCTGCGCGGGGCAGGGGGAGCAGCTGGCAATGCTCAGAGCCTGGGAAAAGAGGAGTCAGGAACTTTCCTGCTGCTTTGTCACTTGTCCCAAAGTAAAAGTTTGTGAACAAAAAAGCGGTCTTGAAACTGCTTTCCCAAAACGTGGCAGCTGCTTTGCCCTGCCCCAGGGATGAGCCGCCCTCTTTCCTCCTCCTGCTTCCTTCAGCCCTCTCCCCACCATCTGCCCAGACATTTGCAACCCAGCTGCAAACAGCTCCTTGCACCCGAACTTCAGGATCTAAAGACCAGGAAAAAAATGTGGGATTGAGTAACGCTGACAAACCCCACACAGCACCTCCCCTGCCCCGAGCCACCGCAGGGAGTTACTGCCCAGGCCCGGCAGCTGCAGCAGGGGGGGCTTCTTCCAGCCACCAGCCTGTACCTGCGGGTCCTCGGACCAGGCTGTGGGTTTCTTCAGCCATTCTCGCTGAAAGTGGGAGAGGGGGAGCTTTGCACGATGGTGAACCCTGACAGCCAGGATCTGAACCTTGTCTTGACCTCAGGAGAGCAGCTCCCAGCTCCACGCATTCATTCCTGGCTCTGTCATGCCTAAATATAGAGCAGCCCTCGGCCGCGGTGAGTCACTGCCTCCTAATGACACTCTCAGACTGTTGGCAGCCTGCTGCTGCCGAACCCAACGGAGGCAGAGCTGAGGAGGGACGTGCGGGGCAGGCACCCGCCCTGCGGCAGCCCCCTGCTTGGGAGTTTGCCAGGGCCTTTCCCTTTGTGTTCTGCCGGGGCTGAGGGAGGACCGAGGGGCTGCATTCTTTCTGGATGAATTGCCGGTGTTTCAGGAGGGACTGGGCAGCTTGTGGTTGAATTTCATGCATAATCCATGGCTGGTTCAAAGCCTGATGTGGGAGCCAGCCGAGATGCTGAATATCAGAAGAAGAAATGCAGCTCGGTACTGAGTGCACAGTCCCGCCAAGAGGCAGCTCAGAAGCAGCTCAGAGGAGGCTCCCGCAGGTCAGTGGCCTGCTCCAGGCCTCGCCGCAGGCCCTGACAGCCACCCAGCCTTTCCTTTCTCTTTGTCCTGTCCTGCCCTGCAGCTACTCGCAGGCCCTCTCCTCCCTCTCTGGCCTTACCTGGAGGGGTTGTCACAGAGCACCAGCATTGGTCAGGGGTTCGGGACTGACCCACAGCCCCTGCCTGGTTCCATGGGCCCAGGGCCCCAGGCAGGTGCCTCAGGACAGGCAGCGCAGTCATTCCACAGGCTTCTGAGCTTGCTGTGCTTTTTTGCAGGTTCCCAATGACCACAAATTATGTGTGGGCTCCGCTGGTTGGAAGGAGTGAGGCACAGGAGCAGCCGCAGTGTGTGAACCGCTGCAGAAGTCTTGGTCATGGAAGAAGTCAGCCCGCACATCGCATCCCACCGGTAAGTGCTCTGTCTCCTAGCACACCGTGTCACAGGACAGCCGGAGCTGCCTTCCCCACAACTCTTCAGTTACCTGCCTGTTTGACCTCTTGGCTCAGGAAACACAAGCATTTATCCTCCCTGAAAATCAGGGTCTTCTAGCAGCCGACCCTTTGCCGTGCTAGTTCTGAGCACGGAGCCAGGAGCACGTGCCGCTCCATCCCCGTGACACCCCACAGCAGCTCCTGCCGTAAGTGGAGAGCACGGAGCAGGCCGGCACCTTTCCTTCAATTTCTGTGTTCAGCACACCTCCAGCCCAGCCTACCTGCCATCCTCTTGTGCAGTCCAGCAGCGCTGTGTGCTTCCAGCTGACACAAAGTTTGGGCCCGAGAATGCGTTTTACAGGAATCTGTGACAGGAGCATCTTCCGCACCTGCCCGCTTAATTATGAAACGAAACAAGTGAGCTGTTTCCAGGACACAGGTATGGTGATTAACGGTCTGTGTGATCAGATTTACAACAGCCATATATGACAAGAGTGTCATGGGGAGGATTTTTCACTGCTAATGGCAGTGGCTTTTATTTCAAGCCCATTTTTTTTACATTAAAATTTTTATTACAAAAACTGTAACAGTAAGGCAGTTTGTCAATTGTCAGTCACTGTGAGCCAAACAGTTTTCGATCACCTTTAATACAAAACTAGATTCACACAGGAGCCACGCTCTTGATCCAAAAGCCCTTTGAGAAATGAGGGGATAAGGCAGAGAGGAACACCACCACCTGTGTCATCACACGTTGGGTATGAGGTGTATGGACACTATTGCGGTGGAGGAAGATGACACACGGATTGTCTGCAGGTTAAAAAAATAAGCTTGTCCTTTCTCCTCTGAGAATCTGGAACATTTCAGTCTGATGTGCCTCAGCAGAACTGAAGTTGAGTTCTGGGGGATTTTCCTTTTAAAACAAGTGAAATTTTCCACTGCCAAAAGACAAACTGTTTTTCTTCCCTGAAGAACTGCAAGTCATTGAGTAGTTCACAGATTTAAGACGTCATGCTCTAAAACTTTTTTACTCCCCAGGCGATGCCTCTTAGGAGACCATTCTTAAAACGCTCGTCAACGCTGGAGATACCTGATGGTAGGTGAGGAAGGGAACTGTTAGCAAACTGCCCTAGACATTCCACAAGTTCTTTCGGGCTTGTTGTTCATCTTTTGGTATTGCTTGAACAGAGAGGGGAAAAAAACTTTGCTTGCTATAATGAAATTAGGGTTTCTCATCACTTCAACCCTGCCTTCTTCCATCCAACATGTAAGAGCCCCACGTGTTTTCTTCCGATGTGGCAGTACCTGAAGTAGTCACTGGCAGCTTTTATTCGGTAATTCTCTTTTACCTCACATCAATTGTAGAATTGTTAGTTGTTAATTATTTTTGTGTGTCAAGCAATGTGGCTCACTTGAAAGAAAAGCATCTGTCTGTAAGAGCAAAGCCAGATGCTGTTTTCCAAACAGTGCTGGTGGTGGTAATACCCGGATTTCTTTTTGTGCTCGCTAGCTAGCCAGGGCTGGCTCATCCAGAAGCACTTAGAGATGCCTCAGAGCCAGCGAGAGGAACTGAATGCCCCCAACTAAGGCTCCTGACTCCATGTTGTCCATTGCTCTCTTTTACATGCAGGGAAGTGGCAGGACTCACTGCAGCCATGGCGACCTTTTTTGGAGCTTAAGAAAGCCAACAAGATGAGAAAGAGAAAACCATGGACAAGAACGGAGACGACTGTACTGACACCATGTAAAAAATGAGAAAACGTGAGTAAGTGTGTTCTGTGGGATTTTTTGTTTGTTTAATTCTCACACCTTTGTGATCAAAAATATGCTGATTTCTTCGAGTAATCTGTATCAGATACTACTCTAATGGTACCAGCAATTCTGACTGCCCGAGCAGCACAAAGGGTGGTGGAACTGCTTCTAATTGGTCTTTTTGATAACTGCTGGCTGGGTTTTGTTTCACATCTTTGACAAACACAAGCAAAAGGCAAGAAGGTGTAGGGCTAAGGATAAACAGTTATGTAGGTCCCATTGCTAACAGGCTCAGTAGCAATTTAACAACACATTTTTCCAGCAAAGGTTTTAAAGTGTCTTCTGACAGCATGCAGTTTCTCAAACTATAGTACCGTAACTGCATTCTCACTACTCCAGAGGTATTTTCTAACATATTAGCAGGTGGTTTCTTCTACCTTTTGGCTCAATTTTCAGGATTTTATTGAGGCAGAAAACCCAATTAACTAAAATGGGAATTTTTTCCTTGGTAAAGACTTCAGGCTTGACCCCCTAAATCAGTAAAACCATCATCATCCAGAAAATTAGACTGCTTAGGTAGCGTCTGGTGCAGCTCACTTTGATTCTTGTCCTCGTGCTAGCGGAATATTGAGACATTTTGCTAAAACTCCTGCTGTTGAAGAGAAATGGCTTAGGGAATTGAACCTCCTGCAGCCTCTCCCCACCCTGCTTAGGTTTATCTGTGCTGGGGTCAGCAGGGACAGCAGTTATTCCTCCTGCAGGAACAGAAGTTCAACAGCTACAGCAGCCACAGTCTCATCTCCCTCAGAGGTTTCAACGTCATCTCAGCGTAAGGAAGCCTCACTGCAAGGACCTGATGGTAAAGTGAGTGCCTCCAGCAGCGGGCACTGCTGACCTGGGGACTGCGTGGGTGGTGTGTGCCACGGCAGCCCCAGCCTGGCTCAGGGAAGGGACGCAGTGAAGTGAGCAGCACCAGGGCCTCTGCAGAGGCCCCTTCCCAGCCACAGCTGAGGAGGGGGAGGCAGCACAGAGGGCGTCACTGCAGTGTAGGCAGCCCCTGCCAGGTGAGCAACACCAGCCATAGAGAGAGGGAACCTCCTCTGGCATATAAAGGTACAGCACTGCTGCTGGCTGTGCTCAGCATCCACGGCAGTGAAAATATTCAGGAAAAAAAAAAAAGCATCTAAAAGAGATTTAGGATTATAAATAGGCCAACTATTTCTCACAAAAACTCAAGAACTGGGAGGACAAGGGTGGAGAGTGTTCTGTGATAACTGTGTGTTACCTCATCACCTGAAGCCTCATAACCAATTTGAAATTCCAGTGTCCTAAGGCACAATTACTTTGATTAATGAAGATGGAAACATTCCCATCGCCACTGCCCAAGGAACAGATGTAAGCAGTTACTCTACTAAGAATAAAAGCAGCATTTGTTTCTTTTTATGTGGACAAACAATAAAGGAAAGCAATAGAGAGGAGATGGGCCTGTAATCTCAGTTGTCAGGCTGCTCTGATGTAGGCGTGTTTGACATTACACTGCTAAAGCATCTCATCTAAGCACACGCAACTGCTGGCTCACATTTTCAAGGTTAAGAGCCAAATTCACCATAGAGTCCAAGAAGGAAGACAGTTAAAAAAATCTGGGCTTTTGTGGAAGTGGAAAAACAGGCTAAAATAGACTATGATATACCTGTTCCCCAGAGAAACACAAACCATGCCCACGGTTTTCAGGAGTAGTGGTCATGTACTCTAGAAAAGCAAGGAGTCAGATGTCTGGAAATTGAGGAATACGAACTGGTTTAATTCAGCCTTCCTTAGAAAGGAGCCCTCCCCTTGACTCTTCCAGGTAGCGTTCATCCCGCCATCAGCAGACTGACAGTTGCGAGGACTCTAAAGCAAACGCCCAGCAGCTTTCCGCGCTGATCCAGAGGGGTGTGGTGAAGCAACACCACACATAACACACTGTCAGTTGTGGCCCTGATCTGTATTTTGTCCTTATTTTCCTTTCTGTAACACTCATGGGCCTTAAAAATCAATATAATCCGTTTGTAAAACTTTAAGGGGGTATTTTAAGAAGGAACTAAAAGTATGTTTGTTTTGTCCACAGATGAAACACTGGTGTAGTTGGAGACTGAACCTGTAGTGGAGTGTTAGTCAATTGTAAACTGTAGGAGATGTGTGCATTTTACACAGACTGAATACAGAAGAGAAGAAAGATGAGTCTGCATCATTCCAACTCTGATAAAGTGCACGGCCTTCTGAATTCCTGTCCTCGCTCGTGGAGCCACTTATTGGATACTGCAAAGACATAAAGGTACGTGATCACTGCATCTGTTTGGCTCGTCCTCCTAGTTAAGCTACAGTTGTGCTATTATTGGTAAATAACTGGATTTTCCTAATTTTCTTAAAGTATTTTAACACACACACAAATAACTAATATATTAATCTTATATTAAATATTATAATATATAAATCCAAGACAAAAAACTTCCAGTAGATGTAAAACTAAGAGAGATTATTCAAGTAGATACAGAAGTACATTGTATTTTTTTTTATAGATGTATAAATATGAAGATGGGATGTATATATACTGTTTTATGTGTGAATATATATATAAAAAAATAACACACTGTTGAGAGAGATAGAGAGATAATGACATAGATATCAAGTAGATTTCCTTACAAGAGTCTAATGGCTCTCTCTGCTTTTCATTCTGTCACAAAGTCCAAAGGAAAAGCAAGCCAGAGCAACCCCCAACCAAACCCCAGAGCTCCAGATCGCAAGAAGCGAGAACAAGGTAAGGGACACTCACCCCATTTGTTTCCAACTAGTACTGGGCAGGCCGCATGCCGTGTGCTGTAATCTCCTTCTCCACTTGGGAAGAGATTGTACCAGAATACAGCTGTTCCCTGGAAATTGCAGTGGAAACCCTCAGCGTTTTGCTCTACTTGATACCAACTTAACGCTAAAGTAAAGGTACGTTCAGATTTCAAATACTGCTTTTAAATTGAAGGTTGTTTTGCACATTCAAACGCTTGCTTTCCTATGGAATGAGTCTCCGTTGACTCACTCTGTGTGTAGGTCCTTGTCTGTTAATTATTTTTTTTTAGACCCTAACCCAACTTCATTCAACTGCAAGCAGTTTTAAAAAATCGAGGCAATATCTAACTATAAATGAGCAGCAGCCTCATTAGCAAAGACCAACTTTATTCGTGAGCCTTCTGAAGGAAAAGCCATAGTGGGAACACAGCATTTCAGGGAGAATTCCCTGTGAATGCCCCAAGACTAATCTACTTACACACCAGTATATTTTTTAAAATTGTTTTGAAGTATTGTTTTCCTCAAGTGCTTTGCAAAGTCTGTGCATTAGCAGCAGTTAAGCCCAAAACATTAACTATGAGCTAACATGCAATAGATCAGAGGGCCCTGGAATCACCAGTACTGCTCCAGTAGCTGCACTTGTAAGTACCCCATGATTAGCGCTCTAATCTCTTTTATATAAGTCAGTTTAAAGCTTCCTTTTAAAAGTTTGAGTATACATCCACTGTATTATTGCACAGGTGAGAGGGGAGTGGTTACACTGGATAATAATGGGTAATAAACCCTTCTTACCTTTTTAGGCCAAACACTGGCTCCTACTTCAGGAAAGACAGTAGCTCCCCCTGCTGACACATCACTCATCTGGAAAGGTAGGAACAGGCACAGGTAAGCTGCAAACCACTGCATTCCCCAAGTGTCCCATTTTAGTAAAATAAAATTAGATTATTGAACAACTTAATTTCTGCCTCCCACAGCATGATTAACAGCATCATGCTGTTAATGCCTGATTAACAGCATTAAACAGGGCTACCCCCCACACTTGGTTCAAGGTGCAATAACCACCAGCCTTTTCCCCAAATGTTACATGCTCAAATATTCTGACAAGGAGCACGCTATAAATACTGATGCAGATATGAAAATGACAGCCCAATATTTTAAGCTACTACTGCCCCTTTGAGTGAAAAAACCCTCCTTAAGCACACGTGTAAAAACCATGACTTATGGGTAAGAAGATACCCGTATGTGTTACCAATAAGGTACTGGCTGCCTTCATTTGCAAGTCACTTGAGTAAAAAAAAAAAAAAAAAAAAAAAAAAAAAGTAATGAAATCATTCCACTGTACAGAATACGCAGCAATAGATATTTTTGGCAATAGCACATGACAGAAATATATCACTTACATAAAACAACCAAGTAGCAATTCTGTTGCCTGTTCCCAATTCCTTAAAAGCATCTGGCTCATCTTTCTGTGAATAAAAGCAAGCATGTTTAATAAGCACTTCATTTTGATTATCGAGAGGAACCAATGACAGACAGCTGCAGAGCCAGCAGCAGACAAACTCATGCAGAAAAATTAATTAAATCCCTGTATTTGCAGCAATGGAGGGGGGGAATAGAAGATGAGTGTACCTATTAATTTAGATAAACAAGGCATTTTAAAATTCTACAGCACAGGGAACTCAAGTCCTAAGCCAAAGTTGGTAATAGGTAAGAACTGTACTGCCAGAGTATATAAATCTTCACAGCCACAAAGTTAATTATTTAATTACAGTGACTGCTGCCTCTTGTCCTTGGCAGAGAGGAACAGCAGCGAGGGCAGCTCCTGGGTCCCAGGTCCAGCAGCAGCAGCTCCGCACACCCTGAGGGCTGCTGCCCTTGCCCCGGCCCTTTCCCAGGAGCTGCCCCTGCTAGCCGCTGTGGCCAGCAGGCTGCTGCGCACACCCTGGTTTGCAGTTTTCAGTGCCCTCAAAAACCTAACAAGTGATTCATTAAGCAGTGCGCTCACCTAGCCACAGTGTCTGTGACAGCCGTTCCTGCCGCTTTGCACCGGAGTAAGGTATGTGTGCACCTAAACGCACGGGAACAGGCACTGTGGCTGTGAGGCCGCCCACCCAGCACCGTGCTCAGGGGGCATCACTTGAATAAAACACCAGAACCCCCACAGGAGGGTTATGAGACCAGCTTTTGTCACACCTCTGTTTCTTACTTCCAGAGCCCACCTCGTGTGACCACACTTGCGTGTGCTGACATCTCAGCAATGGGGCATTATTTCAGAAACTGACCCATGCACTGCCAAACAGCAACTGCTAATCACTCGTGATGCCTTTGAGCATGTGCTTACAGAGCAGAGATTCTGATTAATAGTTGGTGGCTTGGATTCACAGCGCAAGGTTAATCTCAAAAGTGTTAAATCACGAGTAAGTATGCCCAATAAATAACCAACTGAATTCAGTGCCATTATTTCCAGCAGTTTGAGATTTAAGCTGGAAGAAAAATAGGTTGGGAATTTAAGTCAAATAAAATGAGGATTGTACAATGAGAAGAACTGCATAAAACCCCTCGCCCTTGCAGGTCTGCATGGTAAGCTGCGATGCAAGTTTTCTTACACTGCCTCCAAAACCTTCCTCATAGGAAGGAGCATTGAGCTGCTGCCCCTGCAGCCACGTTTGCCTTACTCAGTAACGCCAGCCCTGCAGCCACGGGCACGGCAGCTTCAGTGCATCGCTGCGTGTTAGCTGCTGTTAGTGCATCTTGTGCGTGTCAGGAGCATGGGATATACACCACGCACTTACACAGTTTGACTGTATAGCCTGCAGTGGTTTGAAACAACTGGGCTTTCCACTGCCAGCTAACAGTTCTAAACGTTACTCCAGTTTTAGAATCCAACAAATGCCCTTTGCTCCGGTAACAACAGCTCTTTTTAAATTTCATTCTGCAGAAAACCTTGTTGCTCCATAACACCTGTAATGTTTCTCAGTTCAGCTGGTGGTTTAGAGGGCTTCTCCACTAACATGGATTAGAGAAGTTGAAGAGCTATAAAATTTAATACACATTAAAGATTAAATATTGTGCCACAGCCAATAGGCCCAGGCTTCGCCAGGTGACTATCTCTCCTCCATCTCTTTACTTGCCCGTGCAAAGTCAAAGTGGGGTTCATACTGTCCTCCCACTCCATAATTTGCCACCTGAAAAAGAGAAACACAGTGCTTATGAAGAAGAAAGAGGTGGAGACTTTAAACAGGACTTACCCTTCCGAAATCAAAATGAGGCTCATACTGGCCTCCTACTCCGTAGTTGGCTACCTATAGTGAAAGGAGAAGCACAAAATCTGGTAAAGCTGCATTTTATCCAGAAAGGGCAAGAGTGTGACCATCAGCTACAGCCTTTTGATGGCTGAAGCTTCAAAATCAAGCCATAGGAAAGCACAAGTCTGTCAGCAAAAATCTGTGCAGCAACGTCCTTCTGTGTTTATTCAGAAATAAGCTAAAGTTCTCTGAGACACTGCATCAGTGCAGAGCCAGGACGTGACTGCACTTTGGGGTCTCTCCAGCCCCCAAAAGCTCCAGCTGCACCCTCCCTTCCCCAGGCCAGCCTTCCTGAACGCTCCCCTGACCACGCCAGTCGATGGCTCACGACAGGCTCCTGTTTCTGGGTGCCTGCTCTCATCACCTTCAGGTGACAGAACTTGCCTGTCCCCTGAGAGGAGAGCTTTCGAAATGCCTGAAGACCTGGGCAGCAGCAGGCTCCCAGGAGCCCCACGCTGTCTGGCTGCAGAGCATCCAAGCCCAGTACTGGACATTGTTTATGCCAGGTAAGGAATCCAGCACCCTGTACAGCCGCTGTTACTGTGACCGGCTCCAGTCCCCTCCCCATCCTACAGCGCACTGGTCACCGCTGCCATCCCTTGTTCCCTCAGGTGTGTGCACCCCTCTCTGCACCACCCTAACTGTAAGGTGCAAACTGTTGTGAGCATGGCTGCTTGTAGCAGCTCGCGCTGTTTCACACCAGGACGTCCTTCCCCCACTTCCCAAAGCAGAACACTATTTTTTTTCTCTGTAGAAACTTCACCAGCTAAACGCTTTTTAAAAAGCTCATGGCGCTTTTACAGCATTCAAATCTGAATCACTTTTTGACCTCTGTGTCTATAAAGAAGACCCACTGTCTTTTTTTTTTTTTTTTTTTTTTTTTTGTGTCATCTTTGCATTCATAGCATCAATTTTCAGCCAGACACTTGTGCATTTTATCAGCAGCAGGCTTGCTGGAGCAGTACACCAGTTTTCCCGGAACCACAGCCCTGCTTTCTAGGCACTACCACTGCCTCAGCATCAGTGAAGCAGCATACTAGCTGGTCATTTAAGAGCCTTGAGCAAATGAATAAAAGCACTTTTAAAATCAAGGTCACTTGGGTTCTATTACAGAGAACAGACACTGTTGGCCCTCTAGGCCCAAGGATGGCAAATCTGAACAACCATTCTCTTCCCATTTCAAGCTTTTGTGACTCCCTCAGCAGTGAGTGCTCACCGTTCTGCATGCGCAGCCAGCCAAAGTGAAATGCTAGCTGACATGCACTGCCATACCCGTAACAGTTATTACCTGTAGTTCCTCTGCTGTGGAGACATCAAGGCCTGTTAGGTCCTGTATCCTTGTGTTAATGCGAGAGACCACAGGGCTTTCGTATCCAGACAGCCATGCACTAAGTGAAATAACCAATATATTAATAAAATGCAGTAGTCATAGCCGGTACAAAGGCAACATTTGGGATTACTTCACATTGGAGATTTTTTGGAGCGTAGCTTACTAAAATTTAGTAGGCTAGTCAGAAATATTTCTAGGGCATTACAAAGGTCTGCAGGTGATAAATGTGCTTTCTAGAGAGAACACATACAAAGCTGGTTTAAGGCAGCTCTAAAACTATGGGCCTTACTTCCCATACGAGACTATAAAATAATCAAAGCAAGGGCTCCAAGCAGTGGATTTCAGCTCTAGCTGTTTTTCTAAAGCAGGACGCTACAGATTTGCTCTTACCCACTCCAACCAGCTAGTTCAGAGCACACATTTGATGCAGCAGTAGGGAAAAAAACAGGTAAGTTATTTTAGCACACACAGAGTCTGTGGGCCTGTAACTCAGCTCTTCCACATGTCAGCATCCACTTACAGGCGAGCGCTCTGTGTTCTGCCCTTTATGTCACATTATTTACCTGTGCGATAGTACTGTACAAAATCATTATGAAAACAATGAAGTAACGCCTAAAACTCTTCACCATTTTCCCTGTTGAACAATTTTTACCAAAACAGCCCATCACAAATTCGGTGTTTAACAGATGTTTCAGGTACACAGTGATTTTTAAGGGAGATTTGTTGTTGTTAATATGCAAGTGAAAGGTCAGCCTCGCAGTTCCAAAGACACTTTCAAAATGTCTGCCTCTGGTTTGTAAATTAGGACTCTTCGGCTAGAAGACCTGCATTTAAAATATTTGGTGAACCTGTCAGCAGCTAACGGTGTGAACAGATAGAGGAGCAGGGCTCCACAAGAAACGCTGCCTTAACCCAAACCCAGTGTAGCATTTTCTGCTCTAAAGTAGTCGCTCAGTCTTGAGGCTGCATGGCTGGGAAGCAGCAGCCACGTACCACGAGCAGGGGTGTGTGGCAGACGAGCACACACACACACATAGTACACAAGTATAGCTGCAGCTCCACGCATCCCCACCGGCCCCTTACCAGCTGCGAACACATCCAGTTGCTTACACAAACACACACATATTTCATCTGTTAACAAGATAAACACTTCGTTACTCCACCCATTTCATCTACATCTACCCATTTTTTAATTAAAAAAACGCTCTCATCTTTTTGCATGTTTTTCTTATTTTACTCGTCCAGTTCTAGCCAATGCATCTTTGTGTTAGCTGGTCTTTTCTGTCTCTCAGCATGCTACACCACTTCTCTGTGCAGCTTGGGAAGCCTCTACTAGTGGCTACTATGGATTATGAAGTTAATGATTTGGACCCATTTGTCCCCTTTTTGCAGGAAGATGGAGCCAGCTAGGTCTGCCTTTTCTCTAGCGTCTGATTTAGCCTTTGGGGCTCATCAGTAGTGGTTCCTGCTGCTTTTACAAGGCTGTTGGACAGCATACCTGTGCTCAGAGCCTACCTGGCAAGTACATACTAGCGGTTATACACAAATGAACTTTCATGTCTGTAATAAATTAAAGGTTTGATTGTTTTAAACATTTGTATTTAAAAAAAAACAACCACCAAACCACTTTGCTTGGGAGGAACAGTAGCATGACACGTGACACAAGACACTGACACAGGTTACAGAATCTCTACGAGCACGGAACTGTTTTTTGAATTAAAAAAAAAAAAAAAAAGAACTCTATATAGAAGACTTGCACAAGCACAAAGAGTCATCCATTTGTGAACACTGTTAGCATGAGAAGGTGTTACAATGCAGCTGCCCTTGGTTTCAGAAGCAAGCACAGAGACCACTCCTGGAAAGCATGTCCCGACCAGAAAGCAGCTACGCAACCCCACAGAGCAGGCATCCCCCACAAGCAACGCGAAGCTCCCACTCCATAAAGCAGAGAAGCCCCAGCACAGCCATCAGGCAAGCCTGCCAAGCCTTCAGAAGTTATGCTTTAGCTCCCTCTGCCTAGTCCACCATACAGGCTTTAAGAAAAAAAGACAAAAACAAGTATTCTGACTCCATCGGTTACTTAGAGTTGCAGTGAATGCTGAGTCCCTCCGCAGGGTGAATACTGTGTCCTTTCATGAAATAAAAGCACTGTACATGTTTTAGAAATAAAGTAAGTTAATTGCCCGCGGGTACAAAGAACGTCTGTGAGAGGTGGAGGAAATGGGGAACTGGAAGCACAGTGCGAGTGCCAGGCTCTCTGCTGGAGGCAGCAGGACCGGAGAGGAGGCCGGCAGATCCCCACAGCTCCACCTGCAGCCTCCCAGCACGCGCTAACCCTGTAAGCTCCAGGTCCTGCTGCTGACAGGGTGCAGAGCCTGCACTGGGCGTCCAGTGTCACCAGGCCTCCGCCTGCTGCCTCTCCAGGTACCACAGGCTTTGGTGGCTCCCAACACTTGTGGCAAGCCATCCTACACCATCCTCCTTTGGGGCCAGGCTCAACCTTAGACCTGTGGCTAACACCAGCCTGCCTCGAGGCCTCTCCAGCAGGTATGCCATCACCCTGAAGACACTTTTTTTCCTGCTCCTGTGTATCAGAAAAAATAAAGACTGCCTCAGCAGTGGCACACGCTGTAGAATTTATAAAACCCTAAACTGTGCTCAGCAGGGTTTTTTTCCCTTTTAATATATGCCTAGTCCACACTCAAGTGCACACAAACTCTACTCTTCAATATAAATCTGGTAATCTGGTTCCTTTGCTGACAAGGTAACTGGCAACGGAAAGCATTCCAGCACTTTTCACCAGCTGACGCCCATAAGCCCACTGTGGGCAGAAGCCTTGTTAACAAAAAGGGAAAAGCTTATTTCTTGCAAAGTCACAAGCAGAGGAGTTCAAGTTGTGACTTTGCTTACTGGAGGCTTTGATATTTCCTCAGTAAGCACCGCATCAAACCAAAAGCTCGCCTCCTTCTCCAGCTGCACAAGTCAGACCTGTACCAGCCATTACAAAGGCTGCGTCCTCAGCCACAGGCACCAAAATGTCAATGCTGCTTTTGCAGTCACACAAAATACTCATTTCTGTTTAAGAAATTTCTAAAACGTACTTAGTAACTGAAAAAATGTTAGCAGAGGGATAACAAAATGAATAAAAGCACAGACTAGTATTTCTGAATTGGGAATTCTAACATATGCTACAGGCTCTGACTGGCTGCTGGGAGGAAAGGAAAAAAAAAGCTTCTTTAGAAGCAGTGTCAGAGTGGCCAAATTTATTCTGGTACTGCACACAGCACGGCTCAACGGTGCTCCTCGTCCTGCTGGCAAGGTGCCCCCTTTTATACAGCCTGCCACGTACTGCACAGCGAACAGTAGTCCTCTCAGGGAGGAATGCTGTAATTTAGAAGTGCATTTGCTAGGAAAGAATGTTTGACGGGGGAAAGCAGTCAGCTATTAAAAAAATAAAGCAAGCATTTTTTGGTTTTCAGGAGCAATGATTCATCAGGAATCCAAACCAGCTCAAACAGCCCTGAACAGGGGAACATTTCTACCAGTGGCTCCCCACGAGAAGTTCAGTGATCCAGCATTAACAGCAGGAGCCTTCTAAAGCAGCCTGGTCTTGTGTGTTTTTTTTTGAGGGGGGTGGCAATTTTTCTCCCCTTGTAGTTTGAGGTGTTG